TAGAAATCAAATTTTAGAACGATCATGTACCACCATCACCCCTATGTATGAATTCGGACTGATTTTTGTTGGACCAACAAAAAAAAATTGTTTTGATGGTATATTCTTGCTGAAGCAAGAATAATTCCCGTTAAACTATTACGGAAATGAATTGTTGGAACTATCAGGACCATCACGGATCATCATGGATTGTTGGTCCATGAGAATCAAACTTCTCTTGATGGTTAACCATCATAGTGTCTCATATGGCTTTATTAGAAATTCAATCCAGAAAATTTGACCGCTCACTGCATCACAAAGGAGCAGAAAAATAAGTCACCATCATAGTATTAAAGTAGCATTTTCCATCATGGAATGGTGGAAGTTTATTGACATATCAAAAACTATGAGAGCATAATGGAAAATGTTGGATGATGGTGACCATCAAATGATGTTGGACCATCATGAATCGCACTGAAACCCATTTAAAACATCAAATGTTTTCATGGGACCATCAAGAATTTTAACTTGGGTTAACATTGACAGCTTCAATTATTCAAAAACTAACGACCGCATCACTAACATGTTCTGCAACAGTGGTACAACATTAAAGATTGAAACTTGCAGAAAGTTAATTTTATACACAATTCGTCAATGAATCAGCAAACATTTATAGGAATTGTTACACGTTAAAAAGTGTATTGAATTGCAAAATACTGAATGAAATTATTATGAACCACCACTTAAAAAATTAAAATATAACTTTGATTAATTTCAAATGCATTTGTGTTTATGGAAATTGAATCCGTTAATGCCCAGACACAAAAAGTGTATATCAAGTTATGATTGTGTATATATATGAAAAACACCTACAGGAAAAAAGTTGTAGTACAAAATTGCTTATGTCGAGTGGATATTTCATTTTGTTACCTCCCACTTTAGCTTTTAAAATAGTGCATCGAGTTAATTGGATTTACATACATTTGCAGGTTTGTGTGCTCAATTTAAGCTTATAAACCTTCGCGAAATAGAAGGACAGATGACACAACACAAAGCAAGACAGCACTAAGGTACATTCAGGGTAACAGTGGGTTTCGAACCTGCTACTTCCATGCTTTGCACAGCGTTTGGAGGGTGACACCGATCGGCCAGGGAGGTCCATCAGCCCGTTGATTTAAGACCCACTTGTTTCTGCAAAATAAATCTAAAAAATGACGTTCTTTGTGCTACCACTTTTTTCTTCCTTGGGAACTGTCCTTCAAAAAGGCATAATAGGAGGCCACTTTGCAAAAAAAATTAAGAACTAGAAGAAAAAGATCGCGGAAACAAGATGTTTTAAGTTGTATTTGTAAATTAAATATTCCATGTTAACAACTGAATTCCTAAAATTGACGTGAAATTATAGTCCACAAATCTTATAAAACAATTGTCACCACTTATGAATTTTTTCCAGATTGTGGCCACTCTGCTTTGCAATGGTAAATGCTAAGAAATAAATATAACCGTATAATCATTTACGGGATCAAACAGTAGAAAAAATTGGTAGTTTAAACATTTCATTTTTAACTTTTTTACGGGTTTAAAATATTACCATACCGGACAAGAAACAGTCCTGTATAATTCGAGGACTAATTCAAATATTAGCCATGTTTCAATTTGTAGGCTTATTGGAAAATCAGGCTCTTTGTAAAGTGCTGACATTATTTTAATCCTGTGACCATTTTATTGACCCTTTGAGTCAGAATTTTTATTAAACATAATTTTTAATTTTTTCATTATATTTTGTATTAATTTAAGTCGAAATAGATGGAAAATATTATATCATATTTAGCATTTTTATAATTTATAGTTATGAAATACAGCACGAAACACAAGTGTCTTTTTGTGCAATAAAGGTAAAATCTTCCAGACAAGTCTCTCTTCCAAACGACAATTTTTGAAATTTGATGTTCTAAGCGAAACAGTTATTCCACACAATAATTTTTGAAATTTGCAGTTCTAAGCGAAATAGTTATTCCACACAATAATTTTTGAAATTTGCAGTTCTAAGCGAAACAGTTATTCCAAACAATAATTTTTGAAATTTGTAGTTCTAAGCGAAACAGTTATTCACCAGTAAAATTTGTTTAATTTACGAAATCAATTATTGATAAATTAAATTAATTAATAATTATTAATAAATCAATTTCTGATAATTATGAAAGAATTTTTTTTTTCAAACTACTTTTTTTGGAATTTATATTTTAATACAAAGATAATTCTGTTAATCTGACAAATTTTTTAAGTTAACTATAAGACTGTATTTAATGATAAAAAAAATATCAAAATGTATTTTTGCTTGTAATTAGAAGGTCAGAAAAACATAGATATAAAAGGGATACCGGTGTCCCATTAAACACGCATTTTAGCTTAATAAAAAACTAACCTTACATAGAGTATAAAATGCTCAATAACTACGCAACGAATATCAACAAGAATTTAATAAATGTAAATATTATTTTCTACCTCACAGTCGACAATGGAATGGAATATAAATTTAGTTTTCGTTTTTACTTACCATGTATACCCACGATGCATCACTCAGTTTAGCAGAGTGCCGTTTATTCTCTTGCGAGAATTGTCTAAAAAGAGACATTTTTTTTTCTGAAATTATTCACTCAAAGAAAGTTTTTTTTTTTTTTAAAAAAAGTAAAATGTTTGTAAATGAGGGCAGGTGTAAATAGAAAGCGGAACAAAGAAAGAAAAGCTCACATCCTATGACTGTTTTTGCACAAAAACATAAACTCTTTTTTTTTTTCCTACGTGATTTCCTGTTACTTGATAAGCTGTAATTTTTCTATGATAAAGATAAAAACTTTGAGAAAATAAAATAAATTATATTTAAATTTTCCACACTATTATTCTACTTTTTAAGTATTTCGAAAATTTTATTAGTTTTCCTAATTAAAAATTATAGAGTGGACATTATTTTGGATTTATTGGTATCTAAAAGCACCTTAAACCATTCGACTTTCTTACACAAATTCTGAGACACGAGTTTCAACAAACAATGGCAGAAATTGCGATTTTTATTTAGAAAATGTAATTCAGAAGAAATTAAGTTCATAAAAGTGATAATATATTTTAAAGAAATTAAATCAATTAAACCTGATTAACTTTTGTAGTTATTTCAATTATTACGCAAAAATTATAAATTTTCAGAATTTCTTTACAATTCTGTTGTATTTCTTCTCTTTTTGCAATCGGCTTTTTTTCCCAAACGATTTCGTTTTAAAATAAACTAGATTTTAATTTTTTTCTTTTTTAATGTACAAGTCTAAAAACGTTATATACAGAAGGAGTCGCAAAAATATTTCGACTTAGGGACTTAAGGCGCATTATCAGGATTAAAACTGAATAGAACCCCATGCCCGGAAATGTCGTCATGCGCCGCTAGGGACGCTTACCTATTTTGAACTATTTCTTCGCGTGCTTCTGAACAGATCAAAATCTGCAGCTTTAAAAGCAAGATTTATTTCAGATTTAAAATCCCCACACCCGACTTAGGCATGATCAAGTATTTGCAGAAAAGTAACAAAAATTTGTTCACCAACTTTATCACCTTCATTTCTCACTCTAAATAGCATAAATGTAATTTGATAGCAACATAAAACATAATTTCCATTTTAGTGTTTTTTTCCGTCCTATTACTAGGAATCTCCTACATTTCAGAAGCAATTTTTCAGCATCTGAAACGTTATAGTTAATTCTAGGTTTACCTGGATTCACTTTTCTCTTGACGGTAAATTTCAAAATAATAATGGAGGAGGAGCAGAATTTGTTATGAAAAGATTCTCGTGCGGTATAGAGTATAAATTTCGCTTTTATTTATAAAATTTTTTTTTTCGAATTTCAAGAATTCCGCATCCGGCTTGCACCGACCACAGTGCTGATGTAAAATATCCTTAGAGGCAGACGTATCATGGGTTAGAGTCCCCTTCCTTGTCGTCAGGTTAACCGAGGGAGGTTTTCCTCACCATGTAAAGCAAATGCGGATTAGTTCCATTAAAAAGTTCTCCATGCACGAAGGCAAATTTCTCCCACTTCTTGGTCCTGGAGTTCCCTTGTCTTCTGGTTTCAAAATTATAAGGTTACGGAGTTGAACATATTTAGTCGTAAAGCTAAAAAATTTCAGAAAACCTCTCTTTTTGCAGCAAATTAAAACACCAAGGTGTGGGATCCGCCAACTTCTCCGTCGAAGATTTTCTTAACTAGAAACTTTCTATGCTTTTCGGGAAAATTTCTTCGAGTGTAATTTTGTTTTAATGCACGATTCTTTGTTTTTTAAGTATGATTTTCCACTGCACTACATAAAAATGATTCAAAAGTTCAAATGAAACACCACTTAGCTATCGCGTGGTGAGGTTTTAAAAATTTTGCCAAAATTACCAAAAATTCTGAAAGCTTTAATTTTTAATTGAGTACCACTCTACAAAACAGTTCGCAAAAAGTCTAGTAGTTGGCAGCCCTGAATTTTTCCCAAATATTTGAAATAGTAGAAATTTTTTTGTTTTAACATTTGATTAAAAACGATTTTGGGCACCACAATATAAACTTAAAAGTTGCACATAAAATGTCGGAAATGCACGCAGTATTGTCTTGAGGTGATGGCAAAATTTTAAAACCCTTTGTCATCTTAAATATTATTACCCATTCGCAAAATGGGTCTTGTTTTGGGTTTGATAGCGTGTGCACCTTATTTGGACTTCATCACACTTTTCAACTGTATTCATGAGTAATAGTAAACAGTGCGCATGCGTTGCTATGGCGACCGCTGCTGTTTTTCTTTTTATTTTCACTAGCAGGCATTTTAATGTATTTACATAATAATAATTTTAAAGTATTTTTATATTCTTTTTATTATTAACTTATAATTACTGGCTTGACGGTGAATTTAATATAAATATGAATACTGAAGAAGGAAAAGTATTTTGTGACGTCTTGAAACACGTATATAGCCAGGATTTGAAAACCAATCCGACGACAAACATCAATTGAGACAGTTTTTGCAACCCATGATTTGAAATGATTTGGCGTTTAACGGAGACAATCCAGAAAGAAAAAGCACTTGACCAATGGGTATCAACGTTTTCCTTTTTTTGATTCTTATTCCTTACTTACATATATTTTTTTCTTTTTTGTTACTGTTTTATCTCATCTAGAGCTTTTAATCGTAATTTTCTTGATGTTTTAGTTTATCCAATGCGTTTATCTGTATTTTTTGTTATTGGTTTAGCTTATTCAATGCTTTTAGCCGCTTTTTCTTATTTAATTAATACTTTAAATAAAGTCGCGAGTTAAAATTTCCGGTTTTGCAGCTCTAAATAAATGTTACGAAATCACCGTGGATAACATAATCAGTTATATAATTTGAGATTTTATTAATCAGAGAAAGCTCAACAGTTAAAATAAATTTAAAGTTTACCTTCAACAAATACTAGAAAACAATAAAGCCTAAAAATATGTTTATTTTATATGATACACATTTACAATAACTTCCACTCAGAGTAAAACCCTTTGCTATTTTACAGTTATTTATACAGTTCTAGGTACAATAAATTCCAACTACACAATTTTAACCCACAAGTTTAGTTGTGCATAATGATAGACTAAATAGTCTTTTGCAACAATTAATAGCAACTTAGATAGTTATGATATAGAAAATATTATAATTTTTTTTTGAATAACAGCAATTTAAACATTTAAAATATTTAACTCATTTTTGGACATATGATTTGAAAATTTACATAAAACACATTTTCACCGGGCAAATAACATCTTTTTTGTAATTTCTCAATTTAAGAAAGAATTTTTTAAACAAAATCAAAGAATTTTTTAAACAAAATCTCACAATGGTAAAAATTAAGATGAGTTACTTAATATACATAACTGCTTTATATCACAAAATTATTATTAATTATGATCAAAGTTAACAAAAATCTCTAAAAAAGCTGATATTAAAGACCAAATAGCTTTTGGATTCCAAATAGGGGTTCAAAAACCTTGTGTTTGATAACATTATAAACACTCTTTAAAAAACAATTTGATGTACACAAACACTCTGAACATTAACAAATTATCAATCACTGAAACATTCTATACATGTTTAAACACAGCAAGTGAGCATAATTTCGATCTCCAATGTACACCTTTTTATTAAATATAAAAACTAGTAGCAATCCTTTATTGCACTTATAAATGTTGTTACAGTTACTGAAACTTAAAAGTATAGTTACAGTGATTATGAAACCTTTAAAATCAAAAGGTGAGATAATAGTATCACAAAATATATTAGTGTAAGAAAATCTTAAAAATACCTACATAAAGTGCCTAACTACAATCCAACATGCTTTAAAAGATCTATGTATAACAGGATATACTCAAAGTAAACCTCATTTACATAAATTAGATTAAAACACACATTTAATACCCGAGATTTAAAATTAATATATTCTCTCACATACTAATAACAGAATAATACGTTACTTCTTTGTAGCCTTCACCCTGGTAACAGAAAATGGTATCTAAAATATAATAAATTATTTCTGGGACCGAACAGTAACAATTATTACAATATGACTAGATTTTCGCTTCATTGAATTAGCATACTTTTATTGTACACTAATAACCGAAACTTATTATTGCATCCTAGCTCTTTTAAAAATGCAACTATATTTCAAATTGGCAATTACACCTTTGTGTCTAGTAGGGTATGGCATTATGTAGGGTTGCCACAGAAAAAATGAACAAAATAGTTGCTTTTAGTAGCTTAAAACATGAAAATAGTAGCCAAAAACTAGGAAAATAGTTGCCTAAATAAGAACAAAAATTCATCAAAAATAGTGACTAAAATTTTGTTAATGACCTAACTGTCATATACCATGATCCATTCAGACAAATTGGTGGCAAATATGATAATTTTCATATAAACATAAATGTTTTTATGTATATAAATGAAAAGTGCTTACTCAAATTCGAAATTCACGCATTGTAATGTTATATTAATTTCTTTTTTAAATCATGCGGAATTTTGTAGCAATAATCATTGAAAAGGCGATCGAGAAATGAAATAGACTTACAATTGAGTCTGTGCAGATTGAACGAATTAAAAAGTGAAGGCNTAGCCTTCACCCTGGTAACAGAAAATGGTATCTAAAATATAATAAATTATTTCTGGGACCGAACAGTAACAATTATTACAATATGACTAGATTTTCGCTTCATTGAATTAGCATACTTTTATTGTACACTAATAACCGAAACTTATTATTGCATCCTAGCTCTTTTAAAAATGCAACTATATTTCAAATTGGCAATTACACCTTTGTGTCTAGTAGGGTATGGCATTATGTAGGGTTGCCACAGAAAAAATGAACAAAATAGTTGCTTTTAGTAGCTTAAAACATGAAAATAGTAGCCAAAAACTAGGAAAATAGTTGCCTAAATAAGAACAAAAATTCATCAAAAATATTGACTAAAATTTTGTTAATGACCTAACTGTCATATACCATGATCCATTCAGACAAGTTGGTGGCAAATATGATAATTTTCATATAAACATAAATGTTTTTATGTATAGATATGAAAAGTGCTTACTCAAATTCGAAATTCACGCATTGTAATGTTATATTAATTTCTTTTTTTAAATCATGAGGAATTTTGTAGCAATAATCATTGAAAAGGCGATCGAGAAATGAAATAGACTTACAACTGAGTCTGTGCAGATTGAACGAATTAAAAAGTGAAGGCTCAAATTTGCAATTCAAAATTTTCAAAATTTTTTATCTTTTAAGGAAAAAAAAAGTTCAGTGTGTTCAGAAACTATCTTGTGGGATGCAGATTCCCCCCCCCCCAATTTATGCATTTAAAAAAAAAAAAAACATCTCTAGGATTACAGAAAAGTCTTCCAATAGTCTCCTTTTCCTGAAAATAGTTGCCTTTTCAGGCAAAAAAAGTTGCCATAGTCGCCTGATGCCAAAAATAGTTGCAAATAGTTGCATTTTAGTTGCCTGTGGCAACCCTTTATTATGGGATATTAAACAGGGTGTGTAGCCAAATCTTTCAACAAAAAATAAGCACTTTATAAGTACTTTTGAAGAGCTCAAAAAAAATTTTTAAGCACCATATACATTAACAAAATGCAAAATAATTTTCCAAGACTATACATAATGATGATAAAATAACTAGTTTCAGACAAATCTTTTTCTTGATTACATTATAAACCATAAAAAGATCAAGATTTTTTCGGTTTGATTTCAGAGGGTGGAAAATGATGCTTGAAATTTAGAATATCTTGCAAAATGATTAAGAAAATCAGAGATTAAGCAAAGACTAAATGCTGGAAATAGCAGTTTTTTTTTGCACTTAAGAGATTGCTAACATAAAAAGTAATAACGAGATAAACAAAGCTTCAGGTTTATAAAACTATAATCAGACCAACCGTTGTCTATAGAACAGAGACATGGATTCCAACCCAGAAACAAGAGAAATGCTGATTACCTGGGAAAGAAAAATTCTTAGAACTATTTTTGGACCTGCCAAAGAGGGTGATCTGTGGAGAAGGCGATACAATTTTGAAATTTCAAGACTTTTTAAAGAAAAAGATGCAATCAGTTATGTAAAAGCAAAGAGAATTCAATGGTTAGGACACCTTGAGAGAATGGAGGAAAACAGAGGCACTAAGAAGATATTCGAGGGGCAGAGTCAGGGCCAAAAGAAAAGAGGAAGGCTGGCCAAGAGATGGTCAGACGAGGTGGAGAAAGACCTTAAGATTCCAAAAGTCCGAAACTGGAAACAAAGAGCTAGAGACAGGAGACTTTGGAGAAAAATTGTTAGTGACGCCATGGACTGTAATGCCAAGGAGTCAGTTCGTTGCAAAATGCAGCAGAATTGCAAACGAGAGTGCAAGAATCCCACTGAATTCAGCTCTGTAGACGCACATGCGGACACGCAAGTATTTCATCAAACATGTAACATGATTGGCGCTTTCATACGCAACGGACAGACAGTACACTGAAATACATTGGGTTTTAATGAATTGTGAAACGTTGAATAAAACAATGTGAAAACCACGCTTTTGCATAATACATGGCGAAAATCGACATGGCAATGCATTATTTTGCTTTTTTTTCTTATTATAGGGGATTATTTATGTTTTTTGCTCATTTTTCAGACCTCTTCTTAAATTAATTTTTGAATAATATTTTATATTACGAGAGCAATATTGCTTGTGAAAAAAAAATTTTCTTCATAAATTAGTGTAAATTTTGTATCGAATCTTGTTGTTTAAAAATTTACTTTGGGGTGCTGGCTATTTTTCAATTTTAGGAATATCAAATTTGTCAGAATGAGGGCTACATGAGGCACTATTCGGATGAAATGAAATGAAAGCACAAAACTAAAATAAGTACTCAAATATATATTTTTATAAGTACAGAATATAAGATATTTCAATTAAACTTAAATGTTTTATATTTAATATTTAAATTCATTACATTTATTTTGGATATGTGATGATTCATTATTTAAAATTAAAAACAAATACTTCACATATTAATTTTAAATCAAAAATTGACAATTCACTAGTTGACAGAATAAACCACACATTAAGGTTATTTACAAAAATAGGCACTAGTTCGTCCCCCAGTGACTGATTACAATTAGATAAATGGTACCCATTTCACTATTAATACACAACACACTATTAAACTATGATATATTTTCTTCTTTGTAAAATTATCACAAAACTAAGAAAGACACAAATTCCTTGAAAGTAATGGTAAGCAAGTTTAATTTTCTGAAACAAATTGGCCAGCAATTGATTTCCCACGCAGCAAGATACAAGTTTGTATCAAGGAAAAACTGTGAAAGTTGCACTATTTTTTTTATTATAATCATTAAATTTTGAATTCTAAGACATCTACTCTACTCCTCTTTTGGTCTTCGATTTCGTTCAGGTAAACGGGTTCATAGATCTGGTCTGACTTCGTCAGGCCAGAAGAGGATAAGCAACAACAACAACAAATTTGGCATAATACCATTTGCTTAAAAAAGAATTTTTTCAACAATATTTAACTTTCCAAATTTAGTTCGTAAAACTTATAAATGAAAAAAAAAAGAATTCTTTCCAAGACTTTGTAATTTTTAAAGAAACAATATTTCATTTTATAACCGAGGTTAAACAGTCGACCCAATTTTTGGGTTTACGACTACAAATGTTCAGTTCTGTAGTCTTGTAATTTTAAACCCAATCCAGAAGACAAGGGAACTCCTGTATTGGAGAAATTAGCCTACATGGAGGACATTTTGAGGGAACTAACCTGCATTTGCGTTACATGGAGAGAAAAACCACAAAACCCTCCCACAGTTAGCCTAAAGACAAGGGGAATTCCCACTTTTCTAAGAAATCATGTGCAAACGTCCAATATAACAGAAGAAAAATAAATAAATAAATAAATCTTTACATTTTACACAGTTGTACTAACATGTACATAAAAATGCAATGGACTAAACCCCAGACTGTGTATAGGATTGTTCACTGAAAGAAGTTTTTGAGCTCACGCAAAGTTTTGTATACTTCCCAACTAACAAATCAGATATTCGAAAATAACATATGTTCTTAAGTAATAACATATGAAATAACATATATATCTTAAGTCCTGCACGTAATTAGTAAATCAATGAAATAAAAAACTAAGTACCTGGAAATACAATTGCTGACCCATTTGAAAAGAATGAACACAAAAAGGTATGAAATTCAAAGAATAGGATATAACTTAAAATTGTTCAAGAAATAAAAAGCAATAACCTTGTACATATTCAACATTTTATTTTGAAATGTCTAAGGTAACGCTAAGTGTAAATAGATGAAATTAAAACTATTCTCTATGTTCTTTCAATTTCTCTTTTTGTGGTATTAAAGTTGAATTAACTGTTTGAACAATAATCATTCATTATTAATTTCAATCCAACCACATAATCATAAACTTTACATTAAGCCATGCAATTATCAACCATAAAAACATAGTTATTAAATCAGGAATACTAAATTCCTGATTGTTGTTTCGAGTAACTTACTTAAATATCTTAATATACATAAACATAACATATCAATAAATACTGAAAAAACATTATAAATACATATTAATCAATAAATACTTTAAAATATATCAATAAATACTGTAAAAATACTGAAAATTGTTTTAATCAGGAATGAATAGGCGCCATCTTAAGAGTAACTCAGCACAGGAGTTAGGATGCTATAAAATCTGGCACGTCTTATAATTCAATACTATAGGTGCTTCATAGAGCTTTTTTTTAAGCTCCACTGGAAAGTTCCTTAAATTAAAACAAAAATATAGGGTTGTCTTAAAAATGAAGCCTGTAATATACAGAGCAAAAATGCTTCTAAAGCTTACAGATCTGTGTTCTTGCAGAAAAGTGCTCTTTTAAAATAATAGTTACTGCCTATGAGTTTTTAAATGATAGTCTTCGGCAGATCTTCGTTGCATTCAGTACTGCATTTAAGCATGGGCACACCCGGGGGCCCCCAGACACTCAGGGGGCCCTTAAGAATCTTAATTTTTACAAATTGTGTTAAAAAAAAAGCTAAAAATAAACAATATTACCATTAACAGGGATGATTGTGAGCCCAAGTCAAAATTCCGGAAAATTTCTTGAGTTACAAAAAAAAAAAAAAAAAAAAAAAAAAAAAAAAAAAACAGTTTGAATTGAAAAATTAAAAAAAAATTTAAACAAGGTTTTTTTCCTTTTTCTCAATATTTCTTAGTTTACTTAAAATATATTTAAAATTTTACACATACCTATGATGACCTGGAGAAGTAATTAAAATTTACAAATATGTCTTTCTTTCTTGAGCTTATGATTATGACAGCTATTTACTGATAAAAAATGAATATTAATCCTGGATATAAGCTTATAAAGTATCCCTCCGGCTCTCCTTTACAAACCAAACAAATAAAATAAACCGTGTTTTAAGTTCCACCTTTGAAAATTTGATTTCTGGAAAGTTCTGTGATCAATGATTTTTTGAAACGTTTGGACCTTTGATCTCCGGAAACTTCCGGATCACTGTTAGCGAAAAATCCGGATTTTTTTTCGTAGCACAATCAGCCCTGCATACATATTTTTTTTTAATAAATATATTCTATTGTATAATGTGTGCATTTTGATTTGTTTTCGACAAATTGTGATTGATTATCATGCAAATACCAATAATTTGAATAGTTTATCACCAAGAAAGCTTAAAAAGGCAATCAAAATCTATTTTTTTACGTTCCAATAATTTTTTTTAGATACTTGGGCATTGAAAGACGTTTTACTAACTGTTTAGTTCGACATACCTTTAGAATTTTCTTTTAAATTGTTATACATTTATTTAATATTTTTAATTAACTTCGCTGGTTTTGAAATTTATTCCATTATTTGAGGATTAGAACTGATTAGCATCTCAATTATTATTTTTTTAAAATTATGAGTAGTTCAAAAATGCTTTAAGTTTTGGGGGGTAGTCAAAATGTGTTTAAATTTGTTAAAATTATTGCATATCGTAAAAATTATTTATTTTACGCATGTGAATTGTTTTTTAAAGTTTGTTTTTAAACATTATGGCACGTTACAGGGGTCTAAAACATTTTTGTACCCGGGGACCCTGCGTGATATTTAGACAGTCCTGGCTGCATTGCATGGGATTTGCTCACTACGTCAAAATGCCAGAGTGGACACTTGCAGATCTGCGTCGAACTCAGGGGTGTTGCTGATGACATTACTGTACACGCCAGTTATCGGAAACCTGCGACCCCTGGGTTACCTATTGATATTAATTTATCTTATCTGTATAATGCTTTTATGTTCTGTATTCTAAAATAGTGTGTAATTTATAATGTAAGTGATAAGACATACCAGCAAAAAATTTTGTAAAAAAAATTACCAACCACTAATGCACACTAATGGGTGGTTCAGTGTTATATGGCCACAATCGAGTGAAGAATAAATAAATAAATCATTCTACAGATTTTTTTGAAAAAGTTTGGTTTTATGTTAAACTACATTTGAATGCTTCCGTTAAGAAAAAAAAATCGGGTTTAATAGATATAAAAAAGTTTTCAGTTCTGTCTTTTTTAAATAACATGATTAATATGAAGATAGGATTTTGTTAATTTAGCATTAGATAAATATTTTAAATCTATAAACAGTAGGTAAAAAAAATCCATCACCTATAAGTAGTCAAACAGAATCGGAAATAAACTTATAAAACAAAAGCAGATTTTTAGTAATAATACAGTAGGGAACCGATTATCCGGAACGATCGGGACCACCGCTATTCAAAAATAACTGATTTTTCCGGTTTTCTGAATCGCTACAAAAAGCCGTTTTTTTTATTGTTGAAAGCAACTAAAAAAAACATTTGGATATAATCTTAAAAAGAAGAAAAAACTATGAAGTAATACACTAATGATTATTTCCAAAATGATGGTAAGGTAAACATCTTTCAAAAAAGAAAAATCCTAAAATTTTACGAGGGAAAAAAATTTTTTTAATAAAAAAAATGGCGGGAAGATTTACCGAATTTCGTTCTGGTTTTTTGGTTTTCCGGATAACGGGTTCTGTACTGTATTTCTAAAACAACTTTGATGCATCTTAACCACGACATTTTTTAATAAGAAGGCAGAAATATTTGCAAAAATTTAATTTAAGTTTGTTACGCATCATTATAGAACTACAGTAATTCACTGCATTACAACAACTGTCATTTTCGCACGAGTATGTAAGATATTTCCTTTTGTAATATCAAACTATCACGGAGGAAAAATTTAGCATTAACTTTATCTCTATATACAGTCAAACCCCGCTATAGTGAACCTTCAAGGGTTCAAAATTTCTGTTCACTATAACCGAGAGTTCACTATAACTGCTAACAATTTTAACTTTTTTTTCCGAACTGCTCCCTTTTATTACACATTATTTAAATACATGACCCACAAAAAGAAATATAAAAATAATTAAAAATTACAAAAAATGTGTTAACTTTTATTTTTTACTACTCTTCGTTTTGCGTACAAAAACTTTAGGGGTGGCCTTTATTTAGGGATTGGAAACTGAGATAGAAGAAGCAAACAAACAAAAAAAAATGCGTATGGATACATTCCACTCAATAGATTGTTTTAAAACTCAGTATACATATTTTATGTAGAAATTTCAAAATTAGCAAAAAATGAAGAAAAAAAAATCAGTCGAAGATCGAAAAAAGTTCATAACAGGGTGCGTAGCCAAATTACTCAACAAAAAAATAAGCACCTTTTAAGCACTTTTCAAGCACTCAAAAAATATTTTTAAGCACTTTAAAAAATATCGTAATTAGGCAGGGTTGGAAAGTTATTGACAATCGACGGTTTTAACCGTCATGTCAAAAAAATAAAAATAATAAACCTTTTGGCATTGTTTTTGACAATTGTCAAAAATCATGAAATTTTGAATCATGTAAAACGAAAGGCGTTTTCATACGCTACGGACAGATTATAAGCCGAAATAGATTGGAGTCGAATTAATTATGAAAACGTTGAATAGAACAATGTGAACTGTGTGTTTTTGCATAATTCGAAGCAAAAATCAACACAGTAAACGAAAAATCTCATTCTGAATAAGGGGAAATTAAGCACTTTTTAAAAGCACCCAATGAAAAAGGCACCTTTAAGGGCTTTTAAAAAACGAAAATCGAAAATAAGCACATTTAAGTACTTTTTAAAAACTCTACGCATCCTGTCATAATATCCAATTTTCTCTCTTCTTCTGGTTCACTATGTCCACAAAAAATAATACTATATATGTGTATAGCAAGGCACGGGAGCGAACATTTAGTTCACTATATACAGGGTTTGACTGTATTTATTATAACATACGTAGCTATGTCAAAGTATTTTAGTAAAAGATTAAATTTTAGTCCAATTAAAAAAAACAAATCCCCATAAAAAGCACAGAATTTTCTCTAAACGTATTTTGACTTGAATATATATTATTGCAGGATATGATCTGAAATACGTAAAAATATTTAACATCAAATAAAGTTATGAATATAAGTGTGTATTTGCTTTTATACAACAGTTGCTGAGTAAAACATAAATGTTTTTATAGAAAGCATAAATAGACCATGTGACAACCCTAAATACGAAGCAATAATTGATATTATTCGTGGGCAACGCTTCCTTCATCAGATTTTGGACGGATGGGGGGTAAAATAGATGGTAGCACCCTATACTCACTGTCACAGTTCACACTGGGGGACGGAGGACGTCAGATAGGCCACTCCATGGACCCTATATTAGTTTGTAATCTCCGTTTACCCCGTTTGTACAAGTCCCCGCCATTAGGCAGAGCTTCAAGTTTTGTGGGTTTACGGTAGGTAAGGGTAGATTCTTGACTAGAGGGTTGGATGAGAGGCGCAGAGCCATTCAGAGAACTGTTCAGATTGCTGCCATTCAGTGCAAAAGAGTTCAGTGAATTTAGGGTGTTATTTTCTTTAACAAAAGTGGAGAGAGAGCCATTTGATAAACTAAGTGTCTCCTTATTGGCTGAAAGAGAAAATAAGAAGTATATTAGAACAAAAGGGTATTAAAAAAAAGTTTAAAAAACATTTTAAAATCATATGTTTTTATTTTATTTTATAACCCAGGATTGCCACTCGAATGTGGAAAAAAAAAATTCACCGTGTTTTCCCTGTACATATTGTACACAATATATTAACAGGAAACAACAATAACTGTGCTCTTGTATAAGCTATATTGGGCTAACTATACTAGTTATAATTGGTCTAGTTATAATAGTTGTGCTAACTATATTTATTTGTTTTAATTGCTGAAAAAACAGCTGAACATAGTTAAATAATGCTATAGTAAATGAAGTAGTTTAGTATAACTGAAATATCGTGGTTAAATATCCCACAGACTACGCTTTGAGTGATCACAATTTTTTAAAAGACAAAAATAAGAAACAAAATTCTCTGAATTTTCCCAGTTTGTAAAGAAAAAAATCAAAATTCTCTGCTTTTTCCCTGTTATTTTAGGTGATTTTTAAATTCCCTGTATTTCCCAGTTCTCCCTGTGGAGTGGCAACCCTGTAACCGTCGTTGAACAGCTGACCCAAGTTTGGGTTTACAACTACCAATGTTCCACTTCGTAGCCTTGTAATTTTAAACCCAATCCAGAAGACAAGGGAACTCCTAGATAGAGTATTGAGAGAAATTTACCTTCGTGGAGGACTTTTTGATGGAACTAACCCGCATTTGAGTTACAATTGAGAGGAAAACCACGAGACCCTCTCAAAGGGACTCTAACCCATGATCCGTCTACCATTGAGGACATTTTACGTCAGCACTGTGGTCGGTGCAAGTTGGATGCGGAATTCGTATCAACCAGTCATTGCTGAGATTCAAACCTGGTTAACCTAAATGGAAGCTGAACGCTCCCGTGAGCCATCACGGCTCTAAAATCCTGTGTGATATGATTAAGTAAATTTTTTACTTATTATTTTTATTTTTCAGGGCAAAAGAAAAAAAAAACAGGTAGTCTCAAATATCTTTTTTATTCCAATAACACACAACTAACTTTTTGTTGGAACCATTTATATCGTTATTTTTCACTCCATCAGCAACGTTTAATGCTCTAGCTCTATAAATTTCACTTTTTATAAATAATATAATAGTAATTTTTACCAGTGTTTCAAAAAAAAAAAAAAATCCGTTATCTTAAACAGATTCTATGTTACAAAAGTTATTTGCACAATCAATCTCATTCTTTTAAAGCAGTGTAACATGATACCTTGATTATTTTGCTAGGATTATGGAAAATGTTATCATTCATTTATTAACAAAAAATATTTGTAATATTTTTTTTAAAGTGTGGAAAATTTGATTTTTTAAAGACTTAATTTAAAAAAACAAATTGTGAAGAGACATATTAATTGAGAGACAGAATTCAGTCCACTGAATTTGTCCAAAGATTGATTTAAGTTCCCAGGACTGAAGAGTGGCACAATATTGAGAACGAGTTTCGTTCATTTAAAAAATGTCTTACTTTGTCAGAGAAAGAAATGTTTTTTTTCATCAATAGAATTCAAAATTAAATATTAAAAAATAATTGAGCTTTTAAATTTGGAATTTTGTTGCCAAAAAATTTATTTAAAAGCAAAATATAAACTGTACAAATAGTGTTTTAACAAACATGAATTTTTACACAGAAAAAATTTAATATTAAAAAAAAAACTAAGCGAATTGTTTTTATACAAATGAATGACTTGTAGAGAACACTAACTCGCAAATTGATTTGCTTTTTAATATCATTACATATTTTATTATTATTTGGTTGAAAGAAGGAAACTTAAAAAAACTATATAAAAAAAAAAAAACATGGCAACTAAAAATACGTTTGCATTAAGAAATAAAAACTGCAAATATATGAAGAAAAAAATTCTGAACTCAAAATATGTATCTTTAGTGTTTGGAAAATACAAAGCTGTTGAGATTTAGAATTTTATAAGGAAAATTAGGATTGAAATAAAATTTTTTGTATAAATTTGGATGTCTCTTTTAGATTTAGATTCCCGGCTTGAAAATATTCAGATTTTTTTTTTGTATGATTTTTTTTTTGGGGGGGGGGGGAACATTTTATTTGCCTGATTTTTTTTTATTTTTATAAATTTAAATTTTGGCCAGAAAAAATATTTTTCATGACTGTTATGACGTAACTGTTTAAATTTAATTTTATCTTAATTTTACTATCTAATTAAACATTCTAATTTGTTATGGCAGTCAAAACATAAAATAAATGCACTACTCACATAATGAATACTAAAATTTCATATAAGAAAACATAAAAAATTGCGTAAATCTAAACGATTTATGATATTACAAAAAACTAAATTTTATGTGGAAGCAATGTAATAAATGGATTTTATTGTTATGAATTTAAAAACTAATAAATCATTGATGAACTAATATCTCTTTAAAAGATACCTAAAAACATTTATAAACAATTATTTTCCACCTTTTTTTGATTGAAAAAAATAAATTAATAAGGGCAAATAACTATTAGAATGACCTAAATACTGAATGACAAAATTATAATCAGCTTCAAAATTTCATTAATACCCTTTTTACATTAAAAGTGCAGACATGTACAAAATGCATTAATTTTAAATGCGATAAAAATATGTATAATTATTCCTAAATCACTTAATACAATTATAGTCCAAGACAACATATGGTGGAGAAATTTTATATGTAATATTTTTCATTTAACTCAAAAGATAGACTGAAAAAAAAATCTCTACTAAGATTTTAATTCTATTTTTTCTGTTCCTGACTAGAAATATTTAGAAAATGAAGAGCAATACTGAAAATAAGACATATAATGCTCCTTGTTCGTTGAAAATTTTAAAGTTACCCAGAAAACAGTACATATTGTGACGAAAGTCTTGTGGCACGTTTAAAAAGGTTTGCAATTTTTTTTAAAATATGTCTTTTGTGATTTACATAAATTTAAATATATGTTTTTATTAGCAAACACAAAAAGTTTTTATTACCAGAGAATAGATGAAATTTACCTATAACGTTAATTTATATTATATAAATTTTTACATGCATTTAAATATTGCAATGAAAACATTCAAAATGTTCATTCCAAAAAATTATCATAATACCATTTATGTGTTAATGAAGGGGACAATGTATTCTTTTAATGAATTTTATCCCCCCTGATCTTTACATAAAAAAAAGATGTATGCATAGAGAACAAAAGAGCCATGTTTATTTCCCTTAAAACACATGACTTACAACCCACTCTGTGTGCAGTCTCCTTGAACTTACTAAGCAGCTGCTCCTGGCGTTTAGGTTTAAAATAATTCCCGGCTATGTCCTCCTCTTCACCACGTTCCAACTTCTGAAATAAAAAATTTATGCTTAGTTTTTTTCTTCAATGTAATCAAATTTTGAGCAAAAATATCATTCAAATAAAAATTATTAAAAATACATGTGACCAAAAACAATACTCATTTCATTATAAAATTGAAAACTAATACAGTAAGCTCCACACTATCAAATCAATTTAAGCGGAAGGCCGGATGAAATAGCCGTGTAGGATGAAATTCCACACTTCTTAGGCATTTAATTGTTGCTGTTGTCATCGGCCATTCAGACAGAAGGGCACGATTGTTCTTGTTTTCCAGTGGCGCCATCTATGGCCAAGAATTCAACTTCTGCCACACCAGTTTATAGGGCGAACCCATTCAATCATCCACAGATCATGATTTTGACTCGAACCAGAGAACGATCAATCTCCAATTCAGTACCCCCAGAGGCATGATTTGTTATGGGAGCATGGGGGACTTAGTAATCTGACAGATTTAACGTGCACCAGACACCATTTACTACACGGGGAGTCTTTGACCAGCTGTACCCATATAATTAAAACACATATTTGAAGATTCACAATTTAAGACATATGATAAATGCAAAAGTACTTTAAGTTTGTTAATAAACTGCATAAATATGAAAATTCATGACAAGGAAGAATCAAAATGTACTGCTTTAGCACTTTTTATTTAGCACATTTTTAAGCCCCACCTACCACAATGATATTACAGATGGCGAGTGGTGGCTACACTACTACTTTTATACCTTACCAGACTGGATAGTCGCAGCAAGCCATTAAATTGGGAGCTCGCAGCATGTTATATTTAAACTTGAGAAAAAAAAAAACACAAATAATTATATTATCTGCGAATAATTATAAATTAGTCAATGAAAAATATAGCAAATAACTTTTCAGTATCTTTTGAAGTAGTTATTCTAAATATGAATTTTATGTTTAGTTTCATTCAAAATTCTCAAATCTGCAATTATATTAACTGGTACATTTCAGTAATAATGATATTGGTAAAACTATTTGCAATTAATGTCAATTTGCAATTAATGAAAACGATTGGTAAGGATGAAGAATCAGCAAAATCCCCAGAAATTAAGAACAGGAAGGAAAAAAAAAATGCCGAAAAGCCAAAAAAGATTGAACAGCATCTCATTAAAAAACTATTCAACAATCCAAATTGTTTTGACACTTGTGGAGCAAAATATTACTATAATATTCCGAATTATTTCTTCTTTTTATTTTAAAATTGTTTAATGTCATATTTTTTTTCTTGAGTTTTATAATAAAATCAAAAAATAAATGAGTATAATCCTAATTGTTTTATTTAACAGTTTGTACATTTAGACAAAAGCTGATAAAATGAGAATTTTTTTTTCTAAATGAAAGATTTTAATGAGCATTAATGTGTTTAAGGATTAATTAGTTGAGACATTTTTGATACATAACACATATATGATAAGATAATAATAATAAATAGGAAACTAGGTATATATGATGCATTGTATAATACAAACATTGTAAATTTTACACAGTATAAAATTGTTTCAAACAAGCAAAATTTAATATATAACAAAACAATAATTGTTAAGTGTTTTGTAAATAGCTAAGATTTTTTAGGAAAAAAAAATCCCAACCCTAAAAAACTTATCTTCAGCACTATCCTCTTCAAAATATTCTTAGACATAACAATAATCGACATAATAATGGAAGAATAATTGGCATAACAATATAGAACAGAACATTAATTGTTAAGTATTTTGCAAGTAGCTATGATTTCTTAGGAAAAAAAATCCCAACCCTAAAAAACTCATCTTCAGCACTATCCTCTTCAAAATATTCTTAGACATAACAATAATTGTCATAATAATGGAACAATAATTGACATAACAATATAGAACAGAACAATAATAGTTAAGTGTTTCGTAAGTAGCTAAGATTTCTTAGAATAAAAATCCATACCCTAAAAAACTTATCTTCAGCACTATCCTCTTCAAAATATTCTTAGACATAACAATAATTGACATAATAATGGAACAATAATTGACATAAGAATACAGAACAGAACAATAATAGTTAAGCGTTTCATAAGTAGCTAAGATTCCTTAGAATAAAAATCCATACCCTAAAAAACTTATCTTCAGCACTATCTTCTTCAAAATATTCTTTGACGCTCGATGCAGAATGATTGTGCTTTAGTCTTCGAACTGGTGATACAGCCGGTCTTCCACCTACTTGCACACCTACATGAAAGTAAAAAAAATTAAATAAAAATTCTGGCACTGAAATTGATGTGTAGCTAAATTAACCGCACTATTCATCTCTCTCAGAATTAAGCATTTAGAAATCTTAATTCCCAAAAGATTAGTCCTTATATAAAATCATAAGTCCTTTAAAAAATGATGAAAATATTGCAAGTTTTCGGTGTTACTAGAGGTCACATGAGCTATAATTACAAGCCCTGCAATCTGAATGACTTTATATTAACTTTGTTGTTATGTTTATTTTCAATATTTTTTATACTTTTTCTATGTTCTAATGTTTTTAATGCTCTAATGTTTATAATCTTTTAATGTGCTCATGTTACATGTTTTATTTAGATGTTAACTTATGTTCAATGTTTATTCTCCCAGTTTGCTGCAGTGTTTGCACACTCCAGCGAATGATAAATGTATCATTCGCTGGAGTCGAGTTTTTTTTTTTACACTGCTGCTAAAAATAAACAAAACTAAAAAGTATTTTTGTGTAAGTAAATTAGTTTTTAGGTATTGCTTTGGTGAACACTGATAGTGTGTAACTTAGTTTTTGGGTTTTGCTTTAAGCTGCTCTCTGTCACTGAAAAAAAAAGATAAAGGTCGAAAATAATATCTTGATAAAAGAAGTAATGCATTCTTGCAACAGTCCATTGTAGGCCAATGGAGTTACGGAGTGGGTCACTCAACAATCACGTGATCAATGGCATGGTAGCGGTTATACGGTAAGCATTGTGCACCGGCTGCCCTTACTTCCCAGAAGAGCTGGTACCCATCGATCTGAAGCTGGGGTGAGTTCAAACAGACACTGCAGATCACATTCAATGTTATTTACATTCAAATTTATCATTAAAGATTAATTACATCATTTTAAAGAATTATATGTTCAGTATTGAATTAGAAACATTTTATTGAAATTACAATAAGATTTTTCAATTAATCTTGATTTTTTTCACCATCTATGTTTCAACCTGTAACTTCAAACAATAACTGCATTATAGTTCAAAACATTAAAGGCATTTCCTCTCCAAAATATTAAGATCATTTGAGGAATTTTCTAATGAAATGTAGCTAAATAAAAAAACAAAATAGTATTTAATTAGAATAAAGGTAGCTTTAAATGCACAATAACAATGTTTCGTAGTTTTAAATTAACCAAAAATTAAGTATCGATAATATCATAGAATTTAAATTGTTCATTATTTAAAACATCAATCATAAAATTTTTTCCAAGCATATTAGCCCACAGGCNAAGGGGCCGTTCAAAAAGTACGTACATCCCGAAGGGGGGGGAGGGGATTTGCTATTATGTACGGTTTTGTACGATGGGGAGGGGGGGAGGTATTATACAAAGTACGTACTTTATAAACATACACCAAATTTAAATTTGACTTTATCCTACACACTCCTTAAGTAAATATTTAATTTTATTTAAAACAATTATTTTAATTTTTATGAAAAAGGGGGGTAGACTAATAAAATGTACATACTCTAAGGGGGGGAGTAAGACCTTATGTACGGTAATGTACAAAGGGGGGAGAGGGGTTTAAAATTTCTCCATTTTTGTGTACGTACTTTTTGAACGGCCCCTAATCACATTTATTATTCTACGAGAAAAAATATTTACAAATGAAAGAGATGCCAAATATAAATTCCAGTTCTAATATTTTTGAATAAAATATAAAAGAATTTTTGCACATAAAGGAGATCGATGATTTCTTGAAACTTCTGGACCTTGGGTTTCCGGAAATTTCCTGATCGCAGTCAGCAAAAAATACGGAAATCTGGATTTTCTACAGAGCACAATCATCTCTGGCTTACGACTACCAATGTTTAATTCTGTAGCCTTGTAATTTTAAACCCGATCCAAAAGAAAAAGGGAACTCTAACAAACTATTTTATATCAATTTTTAATTTTAAAAAAAATCAAATTAATGATGGCAAACAAATAATAGAATGACTTAAATGCTGAATGACAAAATCATAAAATTATAATCAGCTTCAAATTTTTTTTAATACCCTTTTTACATAAGAAGTACAGACATGTACAAAATGCATTCTATAAATAAATGAAAAATTTTATTTTTAATTGCAATAAAAAATATGCATAATATACGTTATTCCTAAATCATTTAATATAATTACGGTCTAAGACAACACATAGTGTTGACATTTTATACGCAGTATTTTTTTATTTTATTCAAAAAATAAATTGAAAAAAATTATCTCTACTAAGATTTTGATTCTATTTTTTATTTTTCACCAGAATAGAAACATTTTAGAAATTAAGAGCAAAACTGAAAAGAAGGTATATTCCTGTTAGCAACAAATTTTACAGTTACCCATGAAACATTACATATTGTGATTAAAATCTTTTGACATGTTTAAAAAGGTTTGCCATTTTTTGTTAAAAATATGTCTTTTGTGATTTAAATACATGTTTTAATTAGCCAACACAAAAAGTTTTTATTGTCAGAGAATACATGAATGTTACCTATGAGATTAATTGATGTTATAGCAACTTTCATATGCCTTTAAATATTGCAATGAAACCACTCAAAATTATCATTACATAATAAAATTCCTGTGTTAATGAAGGGGACAATATATTCTTTGAATGAATATTATCACTCCCTGATATTTACATTAAAAAAAGATGTACATAGAGAGCAAAAGAGCCATGTTTATTTCCCTTAAAACACATGACTTACAACCCACTCTGTGTGCAGTCTCCTTGAACTTACTAAGCAGCTGCTCCTGGCGTTTAGGTTTAAAATAATTCCCGGCTATGTCTTCCTCTTCACCACGTTCCAACTTCTGAAATAAAAAGTTAATATTTAGTTTTTCATCAATTTTTGAGCAAAAATGTCATTTAAATAAAAAGTACTTAAGAAGCACATGACTGAAAACAATACTTATTTCATTATAAAATTGAAAAATAATACAGTAGACTTCCCACTATACAATCTATATAAGCCATGTAGGATGAAATTGTTCTTGCCTTCCAGTGGCGCCATCTATGGCCAAGACTTCGATTTCTGCCACACCTAGGGCGAACCCATTCATACATCCATTCATTCACCCCCAGATCATAATTTTGATCTGAACCAGAGAACGGTTTCCGCAGAGCAGTGGCGTACACAAGGGAGGGGTTTAGGGGTTTAAACACCCCCCTTGAGCTCAGACAAAATGGCAAAAGTAAAAATTTTAGTAGAAATTATGCGAGCTATTATTTTTTAAGACTATATATTTTTATTTGCCTTATGCCTACTTTTTTTTTTCACGGTATTTCTCAGAATACTGAAAAAACATTTACTATAATAGGGTTGTACTTTTGAAACCAAATTCACGTGATACTGTTACGGACTGGTTCCTTTCTGTCCTGCCAGTATAGTTTTCGAGACTGGCTGTCATTCGCGAGGTCTTTACGCGATGATTCTGGAATCCTAGACGTTCTGTCGTCTTTGAGACAATTCGAGAATTTTGGAGATGCGGTGAAAAATTATATAAAAGGGGGAACGGAGTACAGTGGAGTTAGTTAGTCAGACTAAGAGTTATCTCTGCCGCTTGTCTTTCGGAGCTTGTCGCTAAATCTGTTTTGATTTATCTCAACAAAAAGTTCATTCAATCGCCGAACCCGTCGTCGCCACTATTTCGACTAGTGAAGAAATCAGTAACAATACCATTGGAGATACTGTGCTCGTTGAAGTTATTCATTCCAGCTCGAAACTTTGAGATCGTAGCATAGCGGATATTTCTGTGCCAATATATATATATATTTGCTGTTCTTGGATCTTTAGGATTTAACAATTTTTAACACAAGAATTTAGCAATTTTTAATTATTTTGAGAAAAAATCACGATCTGAAATTAGTGAGGTGACAGCATCTAGTACCAATGTAAGTTTTTCTGTTGTACAGAAATGTGATACTTCCGTTGAAGAAAACGTTTCTAGCATAACAAAATCTGATGAATGTGAAAGTGGCCCTCAAAGTGTTACTTCCCACCCATATGACATTGGACTTTTTTCAGAAGATATTACATGCGAGAAGATATTACATTATGTTCTTAAACTTAAAAAATCAAATCAAAATTTAACTAAACAATGTTGTCTAAATAAAAAGTCAAAATTGTCCAGCTGTCTAAATCAGGGAAACCATAGTGCTTTATTACAGATTCGAATTTCTTTTAGTAGTTTCAGAAAATTACGAACACCCCCTTTGAAAAAATTCTGCATACGCCACTGCCGCAGAGGCATGATTTGTTATAAGAGAGTGGAGGACTTTACAACCTGACAGATTTAACGTGCATCAGACACCATTTACTACACGGAGGGTCCACGGCCTGCTGTACCCACATAATTAAAACACACATTTGAAGATACACAATTTAAGACAAATTATGAATGTAAAAATACTCAAAGTTTGCTAATAAACTACATAAATATGAAAATTCATAACAAAGAAGAATCAAAATGTACAGACGACTACTTTAGCACTTTATTTCATACATTTTTCTTAGCCCCACTTCCCACAATGAGTTTTACAGACGGCAAGTGATGTCTACACTACTATTTTTTAACTTTACCAGGCTTGATAGTCGCAAGCCATTAAATCGACAGCTCATAGCAAGTTATATTTAAACTTGAAAAGAAACACAAATATTTATATTATCTGCGAATAATTATAAATTAGTCAATGAAAAATATAGCAAATAATTTTTTAGTATCTTTTGAAGTAGTTATTCTAAATACGCATTTTATGTTTAGTTTTATTCAAAATTCTCCAATCTGCAATTATATTAAATGGTACAATTCAGTAATAATGATATTGGTAAAACTAATCAATTTGCAACCAATGAAAACGATTGGTAAGGATGACCAATCAGCAAAATCCTCAGAAATTGAGAATAGAAAAGGAAAAAAAATGCTGAAAAGCCAAAAAAGATTGAACAGCAGCTCATTAAAAAACTATTCAACAATCAAAATTGTTTTGCAAGTGCATTGTTTCGACACTTGTGGAGCAAAATATTACTATAATATTCTGAATTATTTCCTCTTTTTATTTTAAAATTGTTTAATGTCACATTTTTGTTCTTGAGTTTCATAATGAAAGCAAAAAATAAATGAGTATAATCCTAATTGTTTTCTTTAACAGCTTGCACAATTAGACAACAGCTGATAAAATGAGAATTTTTTTTTTGAACAAAAGATTTTAATGAGCATTAATGTGTTTAAGGATTAATTAGTTGAGACATTTTTGATACATAACACATATATGATAAGATAATAATAATAAATAGGAAACGAGATATATATGATGCATATATAATGTAAATTTTACACAGTATAAAATTGTTTCGAACAAGCAAAATTTAATCTATAACATAATAATAATTATTAAGTGTTTTTGTAAATGGCTATGATTTCTTAGGAAAAAGAATCCCAACCCTAAAAAACTTATCTTCAGCACTATCCTCCTTCAAAATATTCTTAGTAATAACAATAATTGACATAATAATGGAACAATAATTGACATAAGAATACAGAACAGAACAATAATAATTAAGAGCATCGTAAGTAGCTAAGATTTCTTAGAATAAAAATCCATACCCTAAAAAACTTATCTTCAGCACTATCCTCCTTCAAAATATTCTTAGACATAACAATAATTGACAAAATAATGGAACAATAATTGACGTAACAATATAGAACAGAACAATAATAATTAAGTGTTTCGTAAGTAGCTAAGATTTCTTAGAATAAAAATCCATACCCTAAAAAACTTATCTTCAGCACTATCTTCTTCAAAATATTCTTTGACGCTCGATGCAGAATGATTGTGCTTTAGTCTTCGGACTGGAGATACGGCCGGTCTTCCACCTACTTGCACACCTGCATGAAAGTAAAAGAAAATAAATAAAAATTCTGGCACTGAAATTGATGTGTAGCTAAATTAACAGTACTATTCATCACTCTTAGAATTAAGCATTTAGAAATCTTAATTCCCAAAAGATTAGTCCTTATATAAAATCATAAGTCCTTTAAAAAATGATGAAAATATTGCAAGTTTTCGGTGTTACTAGAGGTCACATGAGCTATAATTACAAGCCCTGCAATCTGAATGACTTTATATTAACTTTGTTGTTATGTTTATTTTCAATATTTTTTATACTTTTTCTATGTTCTAATGTTTTTAATGCTCTAATGTTTATAATCTTTTAATGTGCTCATGTTACATGTTTTATTTAGATGTTAACTTATGTTCAATGTTTATTCTCCCAGTTTGCTGCAGTGTTTGCACACTCCAGCGAATGATAAATGTATCATTCGCTGGAGTCGAGTTTTTTTTTTTACACTGCTGCTAAAAATAAACAAAACTAAAAAGTATTTTTGTGTAAGTAAATTAGTTTTTAGGTATTGCTTTGGTGAACACTGATAGTGTGTAACTTAGTTTTTGGGTTTTGCTTTAAGCTGCTCTCTGTCACTGAAAAAAAAAGATAAAGGTCGAAAATAATATCTTGATAAAAGAAGTAATGCATTCTTGCAACAGTCCATTGTAGGCCAATGGAGTTACGGAGTGGGTCACTCAACAATCACGTGATCAATGGCATGGTAGCGGTTATACGGTAAGCATTGTGCACCGGCTGCCCTTACTTCCCAGAAGAGCTGGTACCCATCGATCTGAAGCTGGGGTAAGTTCAAACAGACACTGCAGATCACATTCAATGTTATTTACAATCAAATTTATCATGAAAGATTAATTACATCATTTTAAAGACTTATATTTTCAGTATTGAATTAGAAACAATTAACTTTCATTGAAATTACAATAAGATTTTTCAATTAATCCTGATTTTTTTCACCATCAATGTTACTTCAAACAATAACTGCATTATAGTTCAAAACATTAAAGGCATTTCCTCTCCAAAATATTAAGATCATTTGAGGAATTTTCTAATAAAATGTAGCTCAATAAAAACAAAATAATATTTAATTAGAATAAAAGTAGTCTCAAATGCACAATAACAATGTTTCGTAGTTTTAAATTAACCAAAAATTAAGTATCGATAATATCATAGAATTTAAATTGTTCATTATTTAAAACATCAATCATAAAATTTTTTCCAAGCATATTAGCCCACAGGCAGTTCTGCAGGTATAAAGTACTAATTTCTTTTATTTTTTTCAAATGTCATGTACTCACTCCATTTTCTACCTACAAACAGTCTTTCCCTTTAAAGAGCCTCTGATTTTTAAGCACTGAAACACTCTATGATCTAAAATTAAATAGGGAAAAAAATGTTATACCATAGTTTTCTCATTTAACGGGGGGAGGGGGGAGAAAACAATTAGCCTGAACCGCAGTTGTATATAAAAAAAAGAGTAATTTAGAAGCAGAAAAAATTAAAACTTTAAAACTGCCAGTGTCACCCGAATCTAGTTCACGCTACTAATACGTGTGATGCCCCAACTGACTTTGGGCAGGAGAAAAATTAACGCTTCTATTTTGTGAAGCCCGAGTAGAGTTCGTTTCTGCTTTAGGATACTTAATTCACTATTTACCTATTAGATGGTATTAGTGGTCCCAGTTTTTCAGCAATTATGACTTCAGTCGAGGGAGAGAAAATGTGGGTGAAGCAAAGAGTGCGATACGGGCTTGTGTGCAGTACTATGTTTTGGGATATACCATACTGTAAAAGATTTGTAAAATTTATGTATTGAAAATCATATTGTTGTGTTTTTATGTTATATTATACAAGTTATATTATATTTAGCTTCAGAATTTTGTTTAATTTGCTCTAATTGAATAAGATGTGTGTGTAATCCATTCAGTGCCCCCCCCAAGCTCTTGGGCGTATTCATCTCCCCCCTCCAAAAAAAATTTGCTAACTTCCCTCTTCCATGTTAGCTTGTTCAAAATAGTGCTACTTTGCTTGCATTCTACTCATAATATGACAAATGCAGACCTTGATCCTGATTGTGAATGCGGAAAATATGTTTAAAGTAAAAATAAATAAATTAAAAAAGACAGCACAAAAAATAATTGAAAATGGGCTGACTAAAACTATTACAATAAATGATAAGTTACTGATGGCACCTGTAGATTAATGAGCTCAGAAGTTTTAAACTACTAATTAAAAAAAATAAGTTTATTGAAGTTACCAAACAATGCAGCAAATGGCAAGCAGCAATCATCACAAGAGTTGGGAATTTTAGCACAATTAACCCTTTCGGGAAAATGTCCATTATAATGGACATGATTTCGAGATTTTTTTTAGCCCTGTCGATCACCGTTTTTTAACAAAAAAATTATACAAATGGTTCTTTATACCGTTAAGAATGTAAACATATTTTTTGAAACAAATTTTCATTACCCATTTTTAAAAAAAATAATTTTTTAACAATAAAAAAATTCAAGATTTATTGATTCACAGCAAACGACATTTTTAATAAACAAAAAAGTTGATATTTATTGTTTTTTTTTTCAAACTGTAAAAATTTTTTAGGTATATGTAAGTCTCATTCATAAACAATGTACAAAAGTAACCAAAGCAAATAATGCATTTGTTGTAAATATTTGCTAATTAATAACTAAACAAGCACGTTATATTTTACAAAATTGTTTCATTATGTAGAGAACTATAATTTTAATAGGACAGGAAATAGGGTGAGGTAGATTTCCAGAATTTCCTTATGTATTTTGCTTTGCCCCTGTAGTCAAGTTACGTATGCCTGAAAATGGCCAGTTGCTTCTTTTATTTATGTACTTAAAAATTTTTTTTATCTCATCTGAATTCCCCCCCCCCAAACTATTTGTTTTATTTATTGTAAAAATCCCCCCCAAGCTTTAAGTGGGGGCATCATGCACCCACCTTCCACCCTGATGGGGGCCCCTGAATCCATTACTTTTTTATGTGTATGTAAAAATTATAAATACAGCAGTTATTGCATTTAAAATTTCATTTTTGTAATAAAAAACCATTTTCTAACTTTTATAATAATTTGAAGAACAAAACAAAACAGTCAAAAAAAATTTTCTTCCATTTTTAGTCTATTTTTCTGGCACTATTCTGGTCTATTTACGCTGGCATTTTAGTAATTTTTATTAAATAAAATGTGGCATAAAAACTGTTGCAAATTCATAATTTGGATCAAAGAATTTTATAACTAAAAATATATAAATTGTTCATTAATTGAGATATACCTGGAGTAGGTAATTTAGTTTTTTGAACTATTAACTCTGGAATTCGCCATTTTTGGTAATCTTCATCCCACTGGCTTTCGCTTTTTACTTTCTCAATATTTGAATAGTTACAATCCCTTCTGATGCATGGTTGGATTTTGTCTAAAATTTGGGACAGTATTTTTATCTGTTGTTCTTGCCTACGAATTGTTTCAAGATAATCTGTTCTTTCAGTTTCAAATTCACTCTGCAGATCTTTCACTTCTCGATCCAAAGCCTGAATCTACAATGCAAAAAAAGATTCTTAGGACATGAAGGCGGCACAAATAAGAAAAAACTCAAAACATCGCATTTAATATAGTATATAAAACAATCTAAAAATTATTTCACAGCTATGAGTGGTAGACTGAATGTAAACTAGGTAGCTTCCAAAGACCGGACGGAATTTAGAAAACTTCAGGTGTATCCTTCCCAAGGTGTGCAAGTTTCTGCAGAGGTGGTTAAAACCACTGGTAGAAACCGGTTAAAACTGGCATGGCAGAAACCCTTTTCTGCCACATTTGCAGGGGTGATTGTGAGGCCCAAGTCAAAATTCCGGAAAATTTCTTGAAAAAAAAAAGAAACTGTTTAAATTGAAAAAAAATTTAAACAAGGTCTTTTTCCTTTTTCTCAATATTTCTTAGTTTACTTAAAATATATTTACCCATTTACACATACCTATGATGACCTGGAGAAGTAATTAAAATTCACAAATATGTCCTTCTTTCTTGAGTTTATGATTATAACAACTATTTACTGATAAAAAATGAATATTAATCATGAATATAAGCTTATAAAATATCTCTCTGGCTCTCTCTTACAAACAAATAAAATAAACTGTGTTTTTAAGTTCCACCCGTGAAAATTTGATTTCCCGAAACTTCTGTGATCAATGCCTTTTTGAAACGTCAGGACCTTCGATCTCCGGAAATTTCCGGCTCACTGTTAGCGAGAATTCCAGAAATCCGGATTTTTTCAGGAGCACAATCAGCCCTGCATTTGTGGCAGAAACTGGCAAGAATTCAGAAAATGACATAAAAGTAAGTACTGAGATTGACATACAATGGATAATTCATAGAGAAAACAATTAAATGTTAAACGAAGTACAATTTATGGTCACTGTAGATGTAGAAATATTTTAACTAATGAAATTGCTGTTTACATTTATGAATCAGTGAATCTAACCAATTATATTGCCTCTCACATACAGCAACGATTAAAACTGTCACTGTTATAATAATTGGATTGTTGCCATCCAAATTATGTCATGAAAAGAAAGAAAAAACTATTTAAAAATAGCTCTATTCAGTTATGTTAAGAGTTAAACGATAATAATTACTGAATTTCAGAGTTTAATATAATAAACTAAAATCTAGTATTGATATTTATTATTACATTACTTTATTCTTTATTTTATATAAATTTTTGATATACTGCACTCTTTATATTTAATATAAACAAAATAATATATATTTGCAAACAATGAATTACAGAGTTTGTTACAGTTACATGGAGTTACATTTTTCAGTTTACTTAAACAAAACGTCATTAAGCAATTACTAGAACTAATATAGACATTATTTTAGTTTCTGCCAGTTTTTACTGGTTATAACCAGTTTCTGCCACTGGCATGGCAAAAACCAGTTTCCGCCGGCAAAAAGCCAACCCTGATCCTTCCACCTACATTATGCTTATAAAGCAATGTGTGAATAGGCTTGATATTCTAGGAAGTTTTAGTACAGTGGTTTTCATCAAATTTATGCAAAATTTTACCATTATTAAAAGTTTTCAGTAATTTATGAATTCTAAAAGATCGTGAGCCAAAAAAAATTAAGAAAATTAATTTCACAACATAAATAAAGTGAAAGGTTTTCCATGTTTTGAGTGTTATCCCTTATTTGGCTATAATTCTAAAATTGTTTAAATACCGTTGGTTTTTGTTTTTTTGCCTCGTGGCATGCTTGCGAGGAGTTCCAAATAGTACTAAATTTGTAGTTTGTTTAATCGAAAATTGAATTGAAAGAACACGTAATATCCTGACAACTACAAGTACAATAATATTGCATGGCGTACATTTCAAAGCTTATGCGCATAAGTCAATCGGAAGTCTTATGGCAAATTTTAACCCTTAACGCCACTTGTGCTTCGCTTTATATGGCCGACCATCCATAACACGCATTTGCATAGCATATGATCTGACTAATTTTTTATCTAATAGCTGGATTTTTATTTACAAGACTCAATCTTAATGCAAAATTTGAGCTCAATCTATTAGTTTCTGAATTTTTAAAAAAGTCAAGTATTTAAATTTTTCAAGAGCTATTTGACAGATTTTGTTCAAACATGAATTGAAACTATGATAACCTGAATATGAATTGAAACTATGATAACCTGAATATGAATTGAAACTATGATAACATTACATTTAAGTTTGGAATTTTTATCATCTTATACCCATTTTTAAAGCATTTCATAAGACATATAATTTTTTTAAAAAAACTACAATTATAAAAAAACTAAAATTACATTAAGAAAAAGTTNAAAAGAAACGACCGCAACAGGGAAAAACAAAATTCGTCTTGGGGAGGTGGGCAGAGTTAATAAGACATATTACACTTGCAAGGTCATTTTCCAGGGGTTTGTCACGTGGGCTATGAGTCAAACAGGAAATTCCTTTCTAATCTTTGATAGTCGTTTATAACTAGTAATTTTTAATAGTACATATGTACAAAAAAAAAAATTTTTTTTTGAACCCCGATTTTACGAATGACCCCGATTTAACGAATAAAATTTCCGGTCCCGATGAATTCGTTAAATCGGGGTCCGACTGCAATTCTAAAATTGTTTAAATATCGTTTTTTTTTCTTGCCTCATAGCATGCTTGCGAGGTATTCCAAATACTACATTTGTAATTTGTTTAATTGAAAGAACACGTAATATCGTGACAACTACAAGTACAATAATATTGCATGGCACGCATTTCAAAGCTTATGCACATAAGTCAATTGGAAGTCTTATGGTAAATTTTAACCCTTAACGTCACTTGTGCTTCGCTTTATACGGCCGACCATCCATAACACGCATTTGCATAGCATATGATCTGACTAATTTTTGATCTAATAGCTGGATTTTTATTTACAAGACTCAATCTTAATACAAAATTTGAGCTCAATCAATTAGTTTCTGAATTTTTAAAAAAGTCAAGTATTTAAATTTTTCAAGAGCTATTTGACAGATTTTGTTCAAACATGAATTGAAACTATGATAACATTACATTTAAGTTTGGAATTTTTATCATCTTATACCCATTTTTAAAGCATTTCATAAGACATATAATTTTTTTAAAAAAACTACAATTAAAAAAAAACTAAAATTACATTAAGAAAAAGTTAAGTTTCTTATGCAAAAAATGACATTCTGAATAAATGGTCAGATTTTTCCTCCCTCATTAAATATTCTTAAATTTTAAACTAGAAAATGTACTTATATTTTAAAATCTAAGCATAAATAAGCCATATATATCATGAAAAATACAAACATTAAAACTAATCATACCTTCTTTTTGGCCTTTTTAAGTAATTGAGTTTTTGCTTTTAGTTCTTCGTGAATGTCATCGTACACTTTTAACATGGCTCTGTCATCTTCATCAACTTTGGAAAGAGCTTCTAAATTTAATAATTAACACACTTTAAAAACAGATCAAAGACAGAAAAATAAATTAAATAATTGTTATTCAAGGAAATTAAGTTTGTAATAAAACAATTTTTTTTAAATTATTACAAGTAGTGAAATAAACCAAGACAACTGAATGAAGAAATGTTCTGGAAAAGGCCATGACCCACCTCGGGTTGTCACACAGTAAATCATGACGATAAGTGGTGAAATAAAGTTCATACTGTTACATAATGCTATGCAGCTAATTAGTGAAATTATTTAATAATTTTAAACTAAAGTATTAATTTTATAGCAAATTTTATTTGTATTTCATTACATAATTTTTAGGGGGAAATTTTAATAGATTTTAGCACAATTATTTTCAATAGTAGTCTTCAAATTAGAACTAATTATGCAATAAGTAATTACTATTACCGTAGAGAACAATACTAAAAAGTGACACAAAATTTGAAACATTGTCAGGACGACAAAAAGCTGTCATTCAATATTTGAAAATAAAAAAGTTGATGATAACACTTTTAAGATATTTCTTTTTATATTGTTAACTTTTTTTACAATAACAATAATAGTTGAATTTTATTTATTTTAAAGTGAATTAAGTAACAAAATCATAACTAGGCCAAAAACATAATAAAATATAATTGAAATTGTAATTATTTGCCAAATCATTGCTTGCATTTTTGTTTTGTAAATAAACTAATCTTTAATTAGTTAGTTGTATTTTTTTGAAAAATCATTTTAAATCCTGTGCAATAATATTTACACAATGGTCACCAGTTCCTTCTGGTTTAATAACAAAAATAAAAACATTTTAAAAATGATAAATATGCAAAATTAAAACATTCAATTGTAGGATTAAATGTCTATTTAACAATAGTGAAATGATACAGAGAATAACAGAAAGGCATAATTACAGATGCAGTTCTTATTTTAACTTAAAACAATTTATACATATATATGCAACTTAAGTTTAGAATTAAAATGAGAATAAATTGCCTTTACTCTCAATTTCACGGTTTAAGATTTTGCAAATTCAAAGAAATTAAATAAGAGAGAGAGATTGCTGAAATACACTCCATAACAAAAAAATCGACGCACCATGAAGGAGTTGTCCGATTGAAACTAAAATTGGTGGATAGGAAGACAATGTACAGTAAATGATTAAAATTTCAGAACAATTGAATAATTTACTGCAGAGTTACAGTAACAAGTTCAATAAAGTGTTGGCCCACCTCTAGCCTGGATACAAGCTGCCACACGGCGTGGCATAGACCGATGGTCTGGGATGGTCTCTTGCGGTATTTCCTGCCAAATTTGATCCAATTGTCGAATGAGGTCATCTACATTCCGTGCCAGATGCAATCGCCTTCCCATCATATCCCAGACATGCTCGATGGGAGAGAGATTTGGTGATCTGGCAGGCCAAGGAAGAGTTTGACAAGCTTGCAGACAGTTCATAGCAACACGTGCCGTATGTGGTCTGGCATTGTCCTGCTGAAAAACCAGCTCAAGGTGCAACAAAAGGAACGGTAGCAAAACAGGACTTAGGATGTCGTCGATGTAACGCTGTGCAGTAAGTGTACCTCTAATGACGACCAAAGGAGTCCGGCTGTCAAAGGAAATGGCACTCCAGACCACAATGCCTTGTTGAGGGCCGGTGTGGCATGCAATAGTGAAGGCAGGATCCCCCTTCTGCCCTGTGCGTCTCCAAACACGTCTTTGATGATCGTCAGGACACAGTTGGAAGCGGGATTCGTCGCTAAAAACTATACGTCCCCAGTGGGCATCATTCCAGCCATATCTGTTCAAAACATTCATGCATACGAAATTTCAAAGCAATCGGATGATTGCTTCTTGGTGCTTCGATTTTTTTGTTATAGTGTTTATAGCCAAATAAAAAGAAAGGATGTTTTATGAAAAAAATTTCACCTGCAATAGATTTCGTTCTTTTTTCAGCAACTTTTTTTCTTTTTGCCCTTCTTTCTTTCAGCTCTCGATCATGGGCTTTCTCCCCACCAACCATTTTTTCTTCTAGCTCTTGCAACCTTACAATAAAAATAAATACTTTCAGGATAATGTTTATGCAATCTGCATAAATTAACATAATTTAAATGAAATAATGAACACAATCCTTCGCATAATTCACAGTTCGAATCCTCAGCTCAAAAGGCTGCCTTACTATGTAAAAAAAAAGAACATTTTTTTAAAGAAACCTCATAAAAACATTAACAGCTGGGGCAAAAACTTTAAATATATATAGATTTAAAAATGCTATACAAAGCTATGGGATTTAAATTATAAAATCCAAACAATATTTTTCAGAGATCTAATGCAGATTTCTTTTGCGATTAAAATATAAAAATTTTTAAAATAGGCTTAAGTTTTAGAATGATGCTTTCATTTTATATGACGAATGCTAAAATGTGAAAATTCTGCTACTACAAACTAGAAAAAGTTGATAAGCATGCAAAAGCTGTAGTTTTTAAAGTACTTATTCTAAGTATAAAGTGTTAAGACGCCCGGTGGCTGAGCGGCAGCGCTTCGGGCTGTCGTGCCACAGGTCCCTGGTTCGATCCTCAAGGTTGACTCAGCCTTTCATCCCTTCAGTGGGTCGATAAATGAGTACCAAGCATGCTTGGGAACTAAACACTGGGGGTTCCGTGTTCGGCTGACCACCTGACCGGAATATCTGCTCCAGTACCCCAGAGCCCAAGAAAACTGAGATGGGAACAGTAGACCTTGGCCCTCAAGGGCTGTCGCGCTGCTGAGTTAAGTTTTAGTTATAAAGTGTTAAAGATTAATATTATTTTAACAGATCAGTAAATATAAAGATTAATATTTTTTCAACAGATCAATTTTTACATTGATGTTAAGAATTCCATCAAAATGGAATAAATCTATATAAGTTTATAAACAAATAAAAAAAGCGCATCCATACTGATGATTTTTCAAAACTTAACAATTTCAAAAAACATACATATTCAAATGAAATATTAAAATAATGTTGTAAATAGTACCTTTCTAGTGCTTGAGCTTGTAGCTGAGCCATCACTTGTGGTGATCTAAGAAATAAAATAAAAATTTAATAAGTTGCACAGATACTACACTTATAAATGCTATCAAAAAATATAAATGCTATCAAAATATAAATTAAAATATAAGTGCTGTCAAAATAAATTTATCAAGTACAAATAGAGTAGAAGCTGGAAACATGTAGAAGTCATAAAAAATAAATCTTATTACAACAAAATCAAAGATACAATTTTCCACAACAAAACACGTTCCCACACAATGAAAATAAAAGGAGAGGATTTTTTTCAACTTAGATGTTCGCTATGGAGTTAATGTATACATAAAAATAGAAGATTTATAAAATGCAATAATATCCCCTCTAGGACTTTTTCAGTTTCTTTGCAACAGATGACCTCACATTAAAACGTTTAAAATAGACATTTTGAACATAATAAACAATAAATTTGCAAAAGACAATTTAGGAAAAAGCTCTTCAAACAAAATGAGGAGTAAAAAGAAAATAATAATAAAAAAACCTATATAATTTCTATTAATTATTTTGTGAGCAAGAACGGAACAAAATAATTTATAATCCATTTACTTGTGCTTTCAATTTAATTATCAATGTACGTAAAAGAAACATACAATTTAAAATAAATAAGTAATTCATAAAAATTTAAAATTCAAATTTACTAAGGAACAGTGTGTGGTCGTTTCTGAGAGATTTCACTGTATCGAGAACTGAATGTAGTTAGCATTTTATTTATACATACGTTACTGGGTATATTTTAAAAAATACATTTTCAAAATTTTTGCCATTGACAATTTTGCAAACTTTACCAATTTATTGATAACACTATATGCTTAATAATCCATCTATTTATGTAAACATCAACTGTTCTCCAGTAACCTTATAACAATTTTGTAGTCAACGGAGGTAACCTCTACGAATGACCAACCTCCATCAACCACCATTTTAATGGGGAATGCAGAGTGATCGCTCCGGTGAGGTTTTACTGTATTTATTTAATCTATGTACTATGCTTTACATTTTATCTATATACAAAAAGTCTTAATAATGATCACTTGCACTATCATTTTTTATTTTTTTAATGAAAGAACTGTCACAAAAGGGTCAAGAAAACACTCCAATTATTTTAGAAAAATAAATTAGCTGGTATTTTAGAAAACACCATTTAAATGATTTCTAATTTAATGGAGATATGAAATTATGACTTACCCAGAAGGTATAGGAGTTTTGCTAATTCCATTTGGCACTGATAAATGTCCGTTGCTTTTAGGAGAACCTGGGACTTCAATAGTTTCAACATCATCCTATTGAAACAAAATAATGTGAAATAAGAGCTATAAAGTCTATTAATAATTTACAAATTAAATATGATTCATTAATTATGTAAACCTTTACAATCTTACCATACCTAACAGGTTATAAACTAGCAAACACTAATTAGGACATTTACTTGCATTATTTTCTAAACTGGTATCATAAATTATAACAGAATAAGAATGTTCAAACTTAGAAGAACAACTATTTGAAGTATCTATATTTGCACAGTTCTTTCTTTCAAATGATTTTTAGCGGATAATGAAAAGACTGAAATTTCTTAAGAAATTGTGGCACTCTAATAGCTTTAAAACTTTTTTTCTTTCCAATGAGGTGAACAGGGCTCCAATCCTAGCGATGGCTGGTCAATATAAATTCTGCATCCGTCTTGAACCCTGAACTGATCATAGCTTAGAGCCCCCTTGCTGTCAGGCAAACCGTGGGAGGCTTTACTCTCCATGTAACACAAATGCAGGTCAGTTTCATCAAAAAAGTCCACCACGAAGGCAATGCTTGATCTAGAAGTTCTCTTGTCTTCTGGATCGGGTTCAAAGTTACAAGGCTACGGAATTGAACATTAGTAGTTGTAAACCCAATATTGGGTCAGCTGTTCAACGACGGTTATAAATTATTAGAGCTTCAAAAAAGAATCCAAAAATTATTTGAAAATACCTTTTTTTTTGGGTGATTAAAAACATTTGTTTAATTAAAAGTCACTCAGAAATGCATTTCTGAGAGAGAATTTCCGACACCATTAAGAAATTTACACAAAGAAGGAATACCTCTTGGGTCACATGATTAGGTTTGTTTAATTTTGCAAGTTCTTGCTCATAGTACTCTTTCAAACGATCGACATCACTCTGCAATCTGGCATTATTTTCCTGTTCTTTTTGATACTTTGATATTAGATCTTGCATCTTCTCATCATATTCCTGAAATCGAAACAAAATTTAGATAAAGACTTACGTTATCAAAATTTAGATAAAGACTTACTTTATCAAAATTATAAAATAGTGTAAAACAAGCATAAGTTTCCCAAAAAGAAAAAAAAAACATTTAATTTATTAAAAAATTAAAAGATTGAAATTCAGTAGCTTTTGTAAATTTTGATTTTCATATGGCTCCATTTCATAACATTTTATATAATCCTGTATAATCAATATTATGTACAATGTTAATACTGTATAACTAATACAAATGTTCTATGCTTTTAATGTTAAAAAACAATTTTTAAATCTGATTAAAAATTTTGATGTTGAAGGGAAATAGTTTTAAAGTTTTCTCTATATTTTTCTTAGCATATTTTACTAGTATTTGGTGAAAGAGTATAACAGAATTTAATAAACCTTACAAAACCTTAACGCTTTTCTCATTTTGCGATTTATTCAGATGTATAACAAAGGATAAAGAGAGATAGAGAAAAGAAAAAAAAAATCATGGAAAATAAAAACATATATCAATATTCACAAAATAATTGCAAATAATTTAAGGTGTGAAATGATAGGGGAAAATTTTTGATTAATAAATAAGTAAAAAAGCAATCCGGTTAAATATAACTACAAATGAAAATAAAAGGAATTAAACAAAAAATTAAAATAATACTAGTTAAACATCCAAAATTTATAAAATGAAAAATTATGCTTTTAAAAATAATTATCATAAAACACAAATTAAATAAAAATAAAGCTTCCAAAAGTAAAATATATGAAAAATTGCAATTAAATAAAATATAATAAAACAGAATCAAACCTTATTTAAAAAAATACAAATCTTTAACTTTATTTATTTCTTCTTTTTGTTAGGTAATTTATGATATAAAGCAAAATAAATATATACACTCATTAACTAATAATCAAATTCATTTTTTTTTAAACAGAGAAAAACTGTACCTTTTGCATTTTCATAACAGTTATATCATCTTCATTGTAAATGTTGTCTAAGAAAAAAAGTTGCATTAAGAACTGTATAGTTTTCTAAAATTTAATTAACACAAAAAATTTTATGTAACATAAAACAGACAAATAAAAACTTATCATTATTTTGTTACAAATTTTTATTTAATCAAAAATTCTTATAAGCTTGAGAGAAAAAATACTATAAACAAACATATAAATTATTTTGAATCAAAGAAGTAATTTATATAAGAAATAAAAAAGAAATTTTTAATCATAGAAAAAAAAGAGTTTATTTTATTAAAATTTTATGTTTGTTTTATTTTAAATCATTATTTTACCCTTTTACATTTATCTTCAATAAGAATCAACAAAGTACTAAATCAAGGCAGTTACTTCAAATAAATAAAATGTACAGAAAAAAAGTAGATTTTTTAATTCATTAAATAAAACTATGTATTACGTAACAAACAAAAAAACATCCATGTGTAATTTAGAAATAAATATTCACTTATTTATTTAATTAACATTATAAAATTAAAACTTTTGATAAACCAAAATTTCAAGCATATCAAAAACTCTATTTCAATTTCAACTTATTCATGCTGCAAATTAACACTTTTAATTTTAGTTCATCATTTCAAATTATATCAAGAATTGCACAAAATAGCTAAGAGAATAATAATATGATTTCTTAATTTTTTTATCTAAATAAAAACTATATCACAAATTTATTTATAATGATTTATTAAAAAGTATTCATACGTTAACATTCTCAAAAATAATAAAATGTTAACAATAATAAAATTAAATGGTAAATTAAGACCTGCATAAGCTTATCATTTGATGAGCATTGCTTTGCTTTAGTGGTCAACATAAACAGATAGTCAAATTTAAATAGGGTTTGAGTTATTGTTTTTTACTCTCTTTACTTCTATCATGCTATTTAAATATCTTTTAGGAATGCAAGAAAAATAAATAACAAAATTATACTAAGCAAAATAAAGATGATCGTAAATGTAATTTTTTTTAACCGCCACTTTAAAATTTAATTTACCATGTACCCCATATAGCTAAAACAATTCGATTAATTACCATATTGATTTGCAATTTGTTTCAAAAATCTTTTATAAAACTGATTGGTTAAAAAAAATAAGCATGATCATGCTTATTTTATACATCGATGTGTGGCAGGTATATATTATAAATTATTTCTGAAAATATCAACAGAGAAGAACATATTTACAATTAAATACTTAGCATTATATTCACTTCAACTTTTTAAAATTTATTTTGTAACGCATATTACAAACTTATTCGTAAGGCCTTTAATAGTTTTACTCAAAAAGTGTTCAAGTTAGTTGTTTTAAAACTTTTTACCAATTCGGTGAAATTCTAATAGCATACAAACACAGAAATTTTTTTAAAGAGTCCTAAACAAATTTTACTAAGTGTAACCATAAAATATAGAGAAATTAGATGGAGAGTTAAGTTACAGAGGTTTTGCTTTTTTTAATTATACATGCATACATATTCCTCTTCACTCCAAATTGGATTTTAGGGCTTCTATCATAGCTTTCCATCTCACTCTATTTGTGGCTAGATATTTTGCTTTTGTTTTCAGTATTTAATCATAGGATAAATTCAGTTCTTTGTAATAGAGATAGATTGTCAACTTGATAGGTTTCACTGCAGATCTTTTTACTTTATAAAATGTAAATAATTCACATTTCTAATTAATAAATCAACAATACTACAAATAAATACAACAAAAATAAGAATTTTTGACAAAAGTACAAAACATAAAAATAATGACTGAACAAGTATACCAAAAATAACATCCCATAAAACCACAAATTGCTGAATACTCACTATTATTTAAATGACCGGAGTCATCCTCAGACGTTAACTGTCCATTAAGCATATCTTTCAGCCTATTAATCTCTTCTTGGTATTCTCTCAGTAGAGCATCTTTAGGATCTTCATTAACGGTAGGCTTATTCTGGATATTTTTGGCTCTGTTGGCATATCGTAACGTACTTAGCGTCTCGTCGTAGTTGTTATCCGCTGGGGAAAGGCACGCCACCATTAAAGTCTTTGTGTTACCGCCCAGAGAGTCCTGGAGAAGTCTGGTTAGTTTTGAATCTCTGTAAGGTATATGCTTTGATTTACCATCAACTAAGGCTGAGATCACATTTCCAAGCGCAGATAAGGATAGATTAATTTTTGTGGCTTCTTTCAAGCGATCACCAGTTGCACCTGCAAACAAAAGTGGATCCACTTACTACATAAATTTTTTTTGTTATTTCTAATGGCAAAGAAAAATGACAAACTTATATAAGATTAACAAAGAACAGGAATAAAAAGGAACACAATAAGAGAAAAAAGTCAATGTTCCATCAGCAGATGTCGAGCGCTCCAGTATAGCTTCCCCTCGGAGCCCCACGCAGAGCCGTGTATCCAAACCCATGGATCCTGTCCATGATTTTGTCACTTTAGGTGAACCGGGTTCGATCCCGGCAATGGCTGTTCGATACGAGTTCCACATCCGGCTTGCACCAACCACATGCTGACATGAAATATCCTCAGTAGTATCATGGGTTAGAATCCCCTTGCCATCAGGCTAACCGTGGGAGGTTCTCGTGGTCTTCCTCTCCATGCAATGCAAATGCATTAAAAAGTCCTCCACATTTCCCCCTATACTTGATCCAGGAGTTCCCTTGTCTTCTGGATTGGGTTCAAAATTACAAGGCTATGGAGTTGAACATTAATAGTCATAATCCCAAAAAAATTGGGTCAGTTGTCCACCGACAGTTATAAAAAATATTACAAAGTGGGCAATTAGGACTCGTGAAAATGCCGATTCGGTGAAGGTTGTTCACCAGGCAGTCATGGCCTACTGTAAGTCAGAATTCTGCAACAGCCTTTTCACAGGCAATTTTGAAACAAAAATATTTAAAATATATGTATTTTCATATTTTCTCAACTGAATCAGTCTTTTATTAAAAAAGAAAAACTATCTTTCCTAATATATGCTACATTTCGAATAAAATTTTAATGTTTTCAAATATTTGTTATATCTAGATATTATCATATAGCAGCAACAGATAAAAGAGACAAGTCAAGTGTTGCCAGCATAGATAGAGAAACAATAAAAAATTTTGAGTTGTGTAAAACAAATATAAAGTTTGAATAGAGGAAGTATGTGCGAAAATATAATATAACGAATAATAATATAATGAAAAGAAATAAATGAGATGGAAATTGAGGAAATTATAAAACTACAGTCAAAGCAATTTCTCAAATAATAACTTTCTTAATGTTAAAATAACTAACAAAAAGAAAGTTATTGTGAAAATAGCTAAATATTTAAAATTTGCAAAAAAAATAAAGGAATGTGGGATAAGGATAATATAATATACAATAAATGGAGCAATGGGCAAGCAATAAATGAAGTGTAATTTAAAGAAATTATAGAATTTTTATTTAATCCATTTCTGCAATCTAACCAATTTGTCTCAGTTTAAAGTAATAGTTTTAGGCAGTTAGTCAGTATAAAAAATAACATTAATAAAATTTAAGAAAATAAAATAAAGGTGAAAATAACTCACAAAAAGAAAGTAAATAAGAGACAAGGATGAGCAATAATTAAATTCAATCTGAGGAAATTATAAAATTTTAATCTAAACTACACCTGTAATCTAACCAATTTCTATCTGTCTCTCACTACGGAATAAATTAAAGATTATAATTTTTAAATAATACTTGTTCACTAATCCTTTTTAAAAGATTGAATGAATAACAAGCATAAATAACATAGAAAAATAAATAAATAAATGGCAAAAATAAGGACTTAAATGGCCTGAGTTGAAAATAACAGTTTTTGACAGTTACAAAGAAAAAAAAAATTATAATGAAATTATATAAAAGATAGTAAATGTCGAAAATAAAAAAAAACTATAGAATTTTAGTCTTTTCAGCATTCTAACATATATTTCCATCTGTCTCTTACTGAGTAAATCAAACAATATAATTTAAAACAATACATTTTACACACTTTTGTAAAAGTGTGAATGAATGGTGAATATAAATAACATAAAAAGAAGAGCAAAAAAATATAAATAAATAAATGACAAAAAATAAAGATATAAAGTCACAAGCAACAGTTTTTGACAGTTACACAAATATTTTTTTTTTAAATTAGAGAAAATAAAACAAATGTTAAAGTAACCAATTAAATTAAACAAATGTGAGACAATGACAAAACATAAATGAAGTTGAATGTAGTCTCACCAGTTTTTGCCTGTCTCTCACTGCCAGCTAAATCAACTAAATTGAGCTTTCCTTGCTTGATGTGCTCACCAGAGTTTTCTAATTCTAACATTTCAAGGTGAATAGTAAAAATGGAATGACTACGTGATGAATCTGCATTCATTAAAGTTGCACCCACAGAACGATTCTTCCAACCAGTTTCCATCACCCCTTCACATTCTTTTGTATTGTGAACAGGATGGAGAGAAAGACCTGAAACAAATAATATACATAAATATATATATATTATCTCCAATGCTAACCTGTGTTAACATTTCGTCAATTCAGGCATTTACAGGGCATATTTGTTGGCGCCACTCTTTCAGGAACACCATTTTAGATGGGCCAACGTTGCTCTCACAGTAAGGACAGATAGTACAGAGAATGAAAGAACTGAGGTACCTTTTGATAGATGAAGGTTGACATGTCTTACATACTAGTGAATTGGTATTCAATATTTATAGTGGTAGTTACACCACATTACTCCCCTTCAACGAATTCAATCACAGATAAAATTCTGGAAGGGGAGTAATGTGGTGTAACTACCACTATAAATATTGAATACCAATTCACTAGTATATAAGACATGTCAACCTTCATCTATCAAAAGGTACCGCCAGATAGAATCGAGTTAACATGTCTTATATACTAGTGAATTGTATTCAATATTTATAGTGGTAGTTACACCACATTACTCCCCTTCCAGAATTTTATCTGTGATAGAATTTGATGAACGAATACCACTAGTGGATTCATGCTGTTTTATTTATATCATTTTCGCTCATTATATATTTTTTCTTCATTTTTTTATAGCATTTTTGCTCATAAATTTTTCTTCTTCATTTTTTTATAGTATGTCACGCATATTTTTTTTAAATAGCATTTCGCTCATTTTTTCCCCTGAATTATTTGTTTTTATTAATCGGGAGACTTTATTTACTTCACCAGATTTTTTTTTCTGAGCAGTTTATATTAAGCAAATCAACTGTTTATTGTGGACCATCCATCATGTTAGCAAGTTCATTTCACGTCCGGGTCACCAATGTAAGGGATTAATCTTAGACTATGTCAACCTTCATTTATCAAAAGGTATCTCCAGATAGAATTGAGTTAACATGTCTTATATACTAGTGAATTGGTATTCAATATTTATAGTGGTAGTTACACCACAGAACATCCATGCCTTGTACTGGATTCAAAACCAGAACCTTTCTGATGCAAGATCAGTTCCCTGACCCCTTCACAGTCCGGGGGTCACAACAACAATAAATAATATTATGCACAACTAATAATATCACACAAGACTTAAAATTTTTTGTTAACAGGAGATCGCTAGCAACTCTGCTTATCAAAGTTGAAAATACTGTTACTTAGATTGTAATAAATCTTGTTAAGATGTCCTGTCCACCATGTGTTGTTATTTATTGGTTAAAATTGTTGCAACAAAAAATAGTATGCTGTTTATTTTTGATCAACAATTTTAACCAATAAATAACAACACATGATGTACAAGACATCTTAACTAGATATATTACAATCTAAATAATAGTACCTTAAAATCTGATAAGCAGTAATCTCCTGGTAACAGAGGAGAAGTTTAAGTCTTGTGAGGAATGCATCTGTTTATTTAGATTTTGTGGATAACAAACTAATTAAACTGCAAACAGTTAATTTAGCTATGTCACAAAATGTAAAAATCATGCGTTGTCAAAGATATATATATATATATATAATTAAAAGAAATTCAGAGCGTTTTTTTATTAATTTTCTACAAAATATTCAATCAATCAAAATAAATAGCTTTCGATTATTTTACTTATACATAAGTTGTTATTTAAAAAGAAAAAGACCTAAAAACCTAAAAATTTAAATTTGTAGGAAAGATAGTCAAATGTATTTAAAAAAATTTAGTTGACAAAAATAGTTACAAGGGTAATCCTTAAACATTTACTGATGGCTATCATGTGTTTGATCACAAAAAAATATGATTAAAAACTCTTGACAGAAATAAAATTCTTTATAGAACGCTAAAGAATCGTTTGGTAATAAATTTAATGAAGTCAATTTAAATTAAACAATTAATAAGAAAAAAAGTAAATTACGGTTTTAGTTTATTTTCAGTTATGTTATTGTACAAAAAAATCATGCTCGAATTTCAATAATCAGAAAAAGCTACAACAAATGTTAATAATCATTTATTGCAGTTTTTAAAACTAGAATTTTTTTTTTCTATATCCACCCGATTGACACTAATCATTTGAATATTAGTAGGGCAGATTTGTTGGCCACTCATTCAGGGGCACCATATTAGGTGGGCCAACGTTGCTCCTACAGTAAGGACAGATAGTTCAGAGAATGAAAGAACATCTATGCTTAATCCAGGATTTGAACCCATGAACTTCCTAACACAAGGTCAGCTTCCTGACCACTACACAGTTTTAAAACTAGAATATAAACATGTCAATTTGCAACCAAGTACTATGCCTTAAAAAAGGTTTAAAACAATGTACCCATTAATCATTGTAACAATAATATCCATTAATCAAGTATGTTATGAAGGCTGTTCATAATCACCTCCCTTAATATATATTTTTTAGAAGCTACGCCAGAAATGAATTTGAAAAAGTCTGCAAAGAAACTAATATTTAAGCAAGAACAAAGTAAAAAAAAGTACCACAAACTTTCGAATCAAACATAAGGAAAGTAGAATGAAAAACATTAAAGCAGTCAATTGTCAGATAAAATTAGGAAGTACTTTGATTAATCGCTTTTCAAATCTGTTTTTTTTTTGGAATAATATAATTTTAATACTTTCTGTTCCCTCTTACTCAATAGTGATTTATTAGTTTGCTTTTTTTTAAATTTCAATTTTCTTGTTTAATTGTAAATTTGCAAATGTATGTATATTTTTTTGAACAAATTTTTGGTAAGGATCCAAAAAACACATATTAAGGGCAGTCATTACAGAAAATAGTGTATATACAGATAATATATATAAACCTGACACATAGACTCCTTTGTCAGGGTGTTCTTTAAGCTCTAATTTTTTCTTAACTTCCTTTCCAAGTAAATCTCGAATTTCTTCGTTGTAAATTTCTATGTAGGAAGCATGGACTAAGAATTTAGTGTTTTCTGTGGTAGATATAGCCTCAAAAATGTGCTCAAAGGCTCGTGGTATAATTCCTCTTTGGCTGGCTGGATAGGTTATGCCTTGCATTGTAAAGGATTTCCCGCAACCAGTCTGGCCGTAAGCAAAAACTGTACCATTGTAGCCTTCAGTCACACTCTAAAAAACAACATAAACAAATTCAAATTAAGATTCACATTGAAAGGCTATTAAAATAGTGCAAATTCAGAACATATTTAACTGTAAAAAATTATAACGTTGCAAAACATTATGTTATAGAAGTGTATGAAAACACATCAGGATTAGGGAAAACATTTGTCACACATAGGGGAGAGTCGGGTAGCCCCGCCCACTTAAGGAGCATTGCTTATATTTATGTATAATATTGAGTAATAATCAATATTTTTGTATGTTTCTATTGTTTTACCATCTAATTAAATAATGCAAAAAGAATAAACCAAAAAAGAATAATTTAACTTAAAAAAATAGAAGTTTAAAAAAACATGTTTTTCAGCTCTTTTCAAAATGTGTCAGGTATCCCCGCCCAGTTACAAAAATTATGTTTTTTTTACTGTTTTTTCAGGTGTAAATGAAAGTGACCAATGGATTGACAATAGATAAACCTCATTTATCAATTTTATCATAAAATTATTTCATTTATTACAAATTTATATACTTGTAGTCAATTCTATCATTTTAAAATAATCATTTAATAACAACAATATTTGTTGCTAAAAATGCATATAACATTCAAATTTGAAGCAATAAAATAATAATCTTTGCAACCGTACATTTATCGACGAAATAAAATTGGGCGGTGATACCCGACATTCATGTGAGCGGGGCTACCCGAAATCCAATTTTTTTGTAAATTTGTAATTACTCGAACAATTTTTTACATACAAACTTCTTTCTTTGTGCAAATTAAACTTAAGACTACATACTTTAATGCTGTATGTATAGAAAAAAATTTTTTTTTAGTATTAAAATGAAGTTTAATCGAAACATTCAACCAATTTTTCGTAATTTCATGACTACTGTATTCAACATATTTTCAATACTATTGTTTACCATGTTAACAGCTGCATAAATATTTGAAACTTTGAAAATAATCTTTTTTTAATACAATAATTAATGTTCGATGGCCCATTGACTTGAAAAAATATTCTATACATATGAAATTGACTGTGGGCGGGGCGACCCGACTTTCCCCTAAGTATTGCAGAATTACGAAGAGTATAATAAGACTTAAAAACAAAAACTGTACTGTTTTAACTTCAAAAAAATTGTTAACAAAAACAAATAAATAAAAAAAATACAAAATTAAAATTGACCTCAAATGAAACTCAAAGGACTTCAAATAAAATAATTCAGAAAACTCTACTATTATGTTTAAAAAAAGGGAAGATTTATTAACTCAGAAAAAGATATCTCACAATCACTCAAAAAACTATTTACATTCCAAAGCTATCACCATGGCAACCAGAAAACTCTACTCGTTGCCATCTACTAAGTGACATATAATAAGCAAATTATTTTACAAAAAAATATGGGACGGATAAACACACAATATCTTACAAAGGTATTTATGAGGCAAAATCGAATTTACCATGAGACTCAATAAGAATGAACCAAATGTATTCTCCACCATCGTTTAAGGCCTTTTTTTTTTAATTATCTGTAAGTGGCAATTTTATGTTACAGTATTCATACATTCTAGAAGACATGATAAAATTTGATTTGATGTGCCTCTAGTATCAGCTCTATTTAATAAATTAATTTCTAACTTTTTCTGAATAATAAATGAATAAATACAATAGTATGATAAATACAGATAAAAATGAAAAACTTATTTCGATATCGCACTTTTATAAAAAATGGCCTGTGCTATTTATATTTTAAAATGAACTGTTGAGAATACTAAATAAGAAACGTTTATCCAAAAATAATATCCAGCAAAAATGATTTACAAGATGTCTTCAAGCAGAAACAATTTTGTTGTTGTTGTAAATAACAAACAGAAACATCTAAAAAGAAGATTTTTTCTTTAATTTTGTAGAAAAATAGTGTAGAAACAATTCCTAAGCAAAAATAAAAAGTTTTTTGATAATGTGAGCATCTACAGTGTCAAGACACTGAAGAAGGCTATAAAAAAAAATTTGTTTTGTATTTCTGCAGTGATGATGAAATTAGCTCATAGTATTTAATTATAAAATTCGAACAGTATATGAATATGTTATGTTGAATAATGTTACATAAAAACGTATTGTCTCATCTGAGAAAAGCACTTAAATGTTAAAAAGTTATTGTTAAATGTTTGAGATTTCAATCGATTACTGATTAATCATCATTCATCATCAATAAATTCATTTGATTTTTAAGTGCATTTAGCACTACACACATTATTGACTGTTGCAACAGGCAAAGCAACATTTGTTAGTGAAATTTTTTCAAATACTAGAATTACAATCATAGTAATGGCATAGAAAATATGCTCATTAATATTTATTATTTTTTGTGAATAAATTAAATGTAAACAGAAAACAATTCTTAGCCCTTAGCGCAGTATCGATTTACTTAATAAATTTCAACAAAAAAATAAAATTTAAAAACTTAGTTAAGGTTTTAATTGTCTTCAGTAAAGTTACAAACTATTTTAAGATAAAGCTTACTCAATTGCTCTAATCTGTCGTCACATGGAAAGAAAGTTACTAAATAAGTATTGAAAGCCAGGAAATATTATAAATATGGATGATATGAGAAAAACAAGAATTAAAAATTGTAAAAAGGACAGTATAGTGAAATAAAGAAAAATAATTAAATAAAATAATTCTGCCATTCTAAAGATACGTACTTCTACGATTGGGTAAACAATTTCATTATAAATTTGTTCTGTAGTAGAATCTATGAAATAAGCACCATCAAAGGTAAAATTTTTTGGTGGGGCTGAGCTATCAGCCGGGTTTACAATAGAGCACAGACCACACGAAGAGTCCATGTTGATTATCACCTATAAATTTTCAAGAAAATATACACATTAATATTAAGAATCAAAATTTATTTAATATTCGAGGATTGTAAAACAATAATTAAAAATATTAACATAAGAATTGAAGAACTTGCAAGAATTTTCTTTTACATCAGAAATTGTTTCCTATTTTTAATATTTTCCTGCTTAAAAAAAAAAAAAAAAAAAAAAAAAAAAAAAAAAAAAAAAAAAAAAAAAAAAAAAAAAAAAAAAAANAAAAAACAAAAAAAAAAAGAAAGAAAGGAAAAAAAACGAATATAAAATAAAATGAAGGAATTGGTGTTATATAGAGTTGATTGCACAATTTCTGCAGTGAAAAAAAACAGTAAAAATAGTTAAAACAAAAACAAATTTAAAGATTGAACTCTTTTTGCAGCATATTTTTCAATTAGTTTCATGAAATTTAGAAGCGAATCATGAACTAAGATTTAAAATAAATTAATTAAATTTAATGAAAAATTGCTTTTAAACTAGAAATATTTTTTCCTTAAATTAATGAAATTTTTACCTTTATTACTTTAAATTGTAACAAAGCTTACAAAAATTTACAAATCAATTTGAAGTGCTTTAAAGAAGCGTTTAAAGCTCTTTGAAGAAACGCAATTTAACATAATTGATTAATACTGCAAGTAATTCAAGTTTTAAAAAAATCTCAAAGAATCAATCTCAAAAAAATCTTTTGCTAACACTTTGTAGTGGTTCAAAATAAAAATCAGGACATTTCATAAAAAAAAAATCAGGATTTTTTTTTTGGTACAGTCCATGCATATAGACTATGTTTAACTATGTTAGATTGTTTTTAAGAAGGGGAAACAAAGAGCTAAAAAAATAATAAAATCCAATTTGCTTTAAAAATTTCGTTTTGTGCAGCATTTTTTTTTTTTTTTTTTTGCATTCAAAATAAAATGTTAAAAAGAAGGCAAACATTTAATATTTTCAAATAAAAAATTATTTAGATAGGAACAAGATCAGAAAATGATTTTAATAAGAGGATTTCGCGCATGCGTCGAATGGTGAGAAACCTCGGAACCCTAATTTTTTTGATTTGAGAAGCAGATTTCTCAAAATAAAAATAGATTTCAAGAAGTGTAAAAGAAAACTTATAATTATAGTTACTTTCATGCAACAATAAATTATCTCATCCCTAAATAGTATGTAATCTACACACAGAAGAATAAATGTATACAGAAGAATAAATGTAAACAAAATTGGCAACGTAATCTGGAAACAAAGATTATTAAAATAAATAAACTAAGAAATTAAACTCATATTTTAAATAAATGGGCATTTAAAATTAATTTCGATAGATTTTAGAAATGAAATGTATAAAAAAAAAATGCTTTCACCGCGATTTGATAGGAAAAAAAATTACCACTTAAAATTGTCAAATAAGTTTATCTTTTACATCATTTCCAAATTAGTAATCGGGCACAAGAAAAAAATTTCGACTGCAAAAATGCTGAGTTTCTTTTTCATAAGATGATCAAATAACTGAAAAACGATTATAAGTGTGAGAAAAAAAAATCAAAATTATATCATGACAAAATGCTGAAAATCGGGACAAATAAGGACAGAATATTTTATATCAGCACAACGATGAACACCATAAAAGAAAATTATTACATGCAATTTCAACTAAAATAACTTTACTTCTATAGAAAAAAAACAAAAAAAAACATGATTAAAGATGACTCACCTTGCATCCTAAATCTCTTTCCCTCTGATTGATAGGTCGACATCTTACTATTACCTTTACGGTTTCTGATGCCATGGAAGTACACAAATCTATCCAATTTCAAAGTTTTAGTCACCTGCAAAAGCAATTTTAATTAAACCTTAAATATCAAAAGGACGAGAGAGAAAACCTTTCAAATCCAAATTCTGTTTCATTTTCATATGCATTTTAAAATTGAAAGTTAAGAGAAATCTGAGCTGATAAAATGCTAGAGTTTCAAATGCAGACAAAAAAGAGAGTTTCTTTTCTTTCTTTTTTTAATATCAAACTGCAAACAAATTATTGCAAGATAGCTTTTCCACACCATAATCCTAAGTAATTCAGCCATAATTTGTTTGCATTTAGACATTTTGAAAACATTTTTCAACATTTGAAACTTCATGATTTACTCTATCATTACCTGAACTTACTTTTCTTTAAACTTTAAATTACTTTGTGTAAGAGAAAAATAATTTGCCATGAAGGGTTTCACCCTTTAAGTCTTGAATATTAATGACATGATAATTGAGGCAGCCTAGTGAGGCGAGCGACAACTAAGAGAGATGGGCTTGTATCAGTGAATCTCATATGTTGTAATCTACCTAATTACTTTATATGGAACTTGCTATTGTTAATTTCAGGATATGAACTATCAACATAGCTGCCAACATGGATAGGAAAAAATCCAGTAGATTTTACAAAATAAAATAAACTTCATGATAATTATCGCATAATGTACAAAATATTTTACACATAGGGATTTTTAGAATTATCAAAATAGGAAAATTGCAATATTATACAGTTATGATTAACATTAAAAATGAACTTCAAATGTTATGCATTATGTTTACTCATAATTTTGAATAGTAATTGGCATTTAATTTATCAAATATAGTTAAAAGATTTTTTTAATTAATTTAAAAAGGGAATTCTGAATAAAAAATAAACTGAAAATTTTAGAACGAAAAAAGTTTTAAACTGATTTCTGTAAATGAGACTAGCTTTATTATGTATTAGTAATACTTATTTAAATATTCAATCAAGATATAATCTGAGCAAAAACTTTATTTCAATAGGGATTTTTTTCAGAAAACTTAACTCAATTTTAGAGAATTTTCTAAAATGTACAAAAACCAGGAGAATATTTATTAAACTAGTAGAACAGGAGAAACTGGCAACTTCCAGTAGTCTACTGAATGGAAAAATCCAGTAGAGTTAGCAGCTATGTAACAAGGCAAACATTGAGCCAGGATGCTATGGGGTATAGAGTGATTTCTACTTAATAAGATAACATTCATAGTCTGATTGCATACTGCTTCCAGCTTGTACGTATTGCAGTACTGGTATAACATATCCTTGCAAGTGGAACCATAGGTTAGAATCCCCTTCCCGTTAGCTTAATTATGGTAAGTTTTGGTAGATTTCCTCTTCATATAACGCAAGTAAGGGCAAGTTTCACGCACATTTTACACTAAAAATAGTTAGTTTCAAAACTTTGTTTAGGAGTTCTTTTGCCTTTTGGGCTGTGTTCAAAACTACAAGGCTATAAAGTTGAATAATAGTAGCCGCAAATAAAATTCGTGTCAGGTTTCAAGATGATTATAAAATGAAATAAAATTAAGCAACTTCTAGATAACAGTACTAATGTGAAAAACATAGTTTCTGATCAGTTAACAGTTATCACATCTGTCTGGATATAAAACAGAAGAAAGGGAGGTGATTATATAGGAGGGACTCCACAGGACCAAGGAATAATTAAAAACAACACGTCAACTCTACAAATTATAAAAATATAAATTTCTTTAATGCAGTATGAACAGTAATTTTTAATTTATTTTGCAAATTTCCTGTGCACAATGGAGGATTAAGTTGTTAAATCAAACTTTTACAATTTGTATGTTGCAAATTTATAATTTCTACTTTTTACTTTTTCTCAATTACCATACAAATGAGCACCTCATAATTTTTAATCATCGATTTCAGAGGAAAATAGCGCATGTCAACATACCGACATTGTTCTGCCATTAAAAAGTAATCAAAAATGGTGGATTAAAATATCGGTTGATGACTGTAAATTTATGCCATTATACATTCAAAAAAATAAAATTTTTTTAAATTTATTTTTAAATTATAAAAAGTCTTGGCTTAATGTTTCTTTGCACATTTAAAAAAAATTGTTAGTTATTAAACAAAAATAGAACACTTCGCTTGGAAACCTGAAACCAGAACAAATAAATAACTATCAGGGGTCTGTCCAGACATTTTGTAAAAGGTCCGTTTTTCGTGAAATTGTGAAAAAATTACTCACATTCTTTCAACCNGAATTTATTAAACCAAGAATCACAGTTGATAAACTACCACTTTAAATTATATATTTGCTGTCCAGAGCAATTTGGCATCTCTGAAAATGGCGTATGTCAACATTTCGGCATTATTTTTCTGCCATTTAAAAGTTATCAAACAGGGCATAAATATATATGACTATAAATTTATGCCATTATGAATTCACAAAAATATACATTTTTCTTTTATTTCAAATTATAAAAAGTTTTGTTTAATGTTTCTTTGCACAAAAAAAAAAAATGTTAGTTATTAAACAAAAATAGAACACTTAAACGCTTGAAATTAGAACAATTAAATAACCATACTGACAAAAATCAAGTATTGACATATCTTGATGATTTCATTAAAATATGGTCTTGGTTACTTTTAACAAATAGTTACAAACAACTGAATGCTTAACTACAGAAAAAGAATTTTTTGTAGTTAACCGAATTTGAAAAGCGAGCCAAGAAAAAACACTCTGGATAACTTAATACCAATCTTAAGGGTATTAGTGTAGTGAAAATCCGGTCAAAGAGTTGACCTCAAATATACTAATTAGTTGGTCAAAATTAGACACAAAACGCTCTTTCTCTGGGATCTTTTTTTCGATTGATTTAAATTTTTGATCGTCAATTTAAGAGGAGGTGCACTCTAGAAAATATGGTATGTAGTAGCTGTCGTCGGTCATTAATGCAGAGATGGTGAAATTGTTCTTGTCTTCCAGTGGCGCCATCTATGGATAAGAATTCGACTTCTGCTTCACCCAAACGTCCCACCCGCTTATCGTTTGGACCCATTCATTCACCCACAGATCTTAATTTTGACCAGAACCATAGAATAATCAATCTCCAATCAGTATCCCTAGAGGTATCGATTTGTTATGGAAACATGGAGGACTTCGTGACCCGACAGAAATAACGTGCACCAGAAATCATTTACCGCACGGGGAGTCTTCGGCTGGCTGGATTCGAACTATCGTTCTCTTGACCGCGAGTCCAGACCCCTGCCAGCCAGGCTATTGCGGCTCAAAGTATAGTTTCAATAGTTGAAATAATAAAGCGGACCAAAATTTGAACCTCTAAATTTTAAATTCACTTTCTGCGTATTCCCCATACATCGGAAACTTTTTTTTTATCGAATCAAATAATTTTTGCGCATGGTTACAAAATTTCTTTATCTAAAGATAAATCCCTGTAAAATAATATTAATAATTATTATTATCATCTATATTTTATTAAAAAAAATATTTTATTGATTTAATACTTTATTTAAATAATATTTTATTTAAGTAATAATGTATTTAACAATTATATTTTATTTAACAAAAGTCAACAACATTCGAATTGCAATCCATTCGACCACTATTAAATAAAACAAAACAAAACAAAACAAAACTAAAAGATTCTTAAATTTTGATGGTAAAAAATCAAATCAGTCGAGAAAAAAAAAAAGGAATGTTTATTTTAGAGAAAGTACGTTTCTTTGCCTGTCTTCATAATTTAATTAGTTACTAATAATTAATTAGCATATTTCAGGTTAAGACTTTAAACCTTAAAAATTGTTTGTGAAAATCTGATCATTGGAACAAAAGTAATCTAAAAGTAATTAAGTAGTTCTTTTTTTGCTTACAGTATATAGCAAAACCAGATATGCACGTTCGTTTAAGCGTAGCTAAAGCAACAAAATTTTTCACAATATTCAAGGCTCTTTTTTTTTCATTATCTATATGCATATTTATCTTATGTAACACCTTAAACTCGGGTATTTCTCTACTACTGCCAAAACTTTATTATTCATTTTGTTAAGTTATTTTAAATAATGATTTCGGTAGTGTTAAAATAATAGTTATACGCTTGATTCATTTGTTAATTTGTTTTAATAATTTAAGTAGTGTTGAAATGTTTAGTTATTTGTTAAGTATCTATTAAGAATAATTTTGTATTTTTCTTTTTATAGAAATTAAGTTAAAGATAAAAGTTACGAAATTAGCAATTAATTATATTTATTTTCGATCCTAGAAAGGATTGCGGTAGACCGCGGTAAATGGAGGTAGAAATTTTGGAACGAGAACGGTGTGCCATACTGCCATGTCAATTATTCACAACGGAGCATGTTCCTTTCGAGCAATAGCATATATGACGTAATGGCAGTCATATATGCCACAGAGACGTAATGGCAGAGGGGATAGAGCGTTCGCCTCCTAATGAGGTAAGCCAGGTTCGAATCCCAGAGATGGCTGATCTACACGATTTCCGCAACCGGCTTTTGCCGACCACAGTACTGCCGCAAAATATCCTCAGTAGCAGACGGATCATGGGTAAGAACTCCCCTTGCCGTCAGGCTAACCGTGGGAGTTCTTCGTGGCTTTCCTCTCCATGCAACGCAAATGCCGTGGGAGTTCTTCGTGGCTTTCCTCTTCATATAACGCAAATGCGGGTTAATTCCATCAAAAAGTCCTCAACGAAGGTAAATTTCTCCTAATACTTCATCCATGAGTTTCCTCGTCTTATGGATTGAGTTCAAAACTACGAGGCTACGGAGTTGAACATTAGAAGTCGTAAACCCAAACAAATTGGATCGGCTGCTCGACGACGGTTATAAAATAAAATATATTATACAATACTCAAGTTATGGCTCGAGAGGTGCGTGAGGAAGTAGTACAGCATTAGGATGAATTTTCGATTTTATCTCAAGACAGAAATGGAAATAATTTTATTACTTTTGTCGCCTACTATGCTGAAATGACCCGAATTTATATTTGCGGTAATTTGC